TTTCAATGTATCCTTAGCAGTTTCCTAGTTTTCATTTCATTTTAGCTTGTCTCTTTAACTGTCCTTTTACTTGGACTTGCTTTATCTCTTAATTTTTGGAACATTTTCTTCTTATATATTTATAGTTTTAGACTTCTCTACTAATAGTTTTGAATCTTTAAGCCTACTTTTGCTTATTTAACTGTTCCCCTTTCTCCTTTGGTTGATGTTTGCATTCGCTTGCCATCTTTTTGTTTATATATTTGTATCTTTGGATTAAAAATTACCTCACATGCATGGCATATAATTGATTTTAAAAAGTCTTTTTAGATTCATTTTGTGCATGAGTGTTTTGCTTACTTGAATGTATCACCACATGTGTGCTTAATGCACTTGGAGGTCCCAGAACTGGAGTTACAGCTCGTTTTGATCCCACCATGTGGGTGTTGGGAACCAAACCGGGGTCATCTGAAAGAGCAACAAGTGCTCTTAACTGCTGAACCATCTCTCGAGTCCTTGTTTGTTTTGTAAGATTTTGTTTATTGATTGGGTTATCCATTCAAATTTGATGTTATTATTTACATGGATTAATTTCCCTCTGCCATGTTTATTTTCATTTTCATAACTTGTATAAATTTGTTCAAAGGTGACTGGCCTTTTAGATGATATGGGACAGCAACTCTATGCAGCAACACCTCCTTTCTAACCCTGAGACTAGATATTTTGTATTGTTATTTGCTTGGTTATATTTTTAGTAACTGGTTGGATTATTTTATTAAACGTTTTTCTCTAGCAGTTGTTAAAATAGGCTCATTTTTCTCCTGCACACAGTTCAGTCTGTGGTATGCCCACAATCCCCCCACCAACTCAGTTCTTCAACAGAGGTCTCTTCTACCTCTGGCTACACTTTAAAACCCATTCATTGCAGGAATAAGTTACACTTAAAATGAATCGGTAAAAACTGTGTTTTTATATGCCCTCCCCTATCCCAGCCTAGAAATCTACTCACTTTTCTCCACCCTCTCTTTGAGACGCCGTATATAAGTCAGCCTTTGTCTATAGTACAGACACAGGCCCAAAGTTCCACCATCCTTAAGATCACTTTTACTTCATGCACATACTATACTGCCTCTAGGATGAGGTTAGAGTCTTTTACAGACAGTTTCTCTGTGGTTTCTCCCCACCCGCAGGCAAAATCTGTGAGTCAAGGTTCTGGAATGTGAAACTTCTGAGTGAAAGACCCCACACACATACTTTCTGGGAGCTGAGCATTTAGCAGGGGCTGGGCAGTAGCTGAGGTTTTCTCATGGTATTTAAATATGTCAGGAGCTGGGGCAAGGGTTATCGGGGTCTGGCATCTGAGGCTGCAACAGGAAGACAGAATTTCAGTTTTTAAGCAGAGCACAAGGCCCAGGGGTATTGATATATCCGCCAATCAGGAAGGAACCTTCGTGTGTATAGGAGCTTAAATACCAGGTTTTCACTTCTGGTAATGAATTTTCATAGACTTTCTTGAATAGTTTTGCCTACTTTCTGTTTGTCCTTTGGACCATTTCTAGCATTTCTTAATGACTTCAAAAGTATTTCCCACAAGTTTTCTTGAGAAGGAAGTCATTGGCGCTCATGTTGCCATGTCAGTAGTCAATTTCTAATACCTTACATGTCTGAAACTGTATTTGATAAATTCCACAAAATGTGGAAGTCTCCCAAACTGTTCAGGGAGATTTACCTTCAAATCAGTTACTTTTACCAGGATATGGGGCTTAGCAAGCACCTGAGAATGAGGAACCTTTAAAAGCAGTTCACTTTAGAGATTAAGAAGATACATAAAGAACGAGTAAGGGAGTTCAAAGAACAGAACAGGGAGCCCCTAAGAAGTTAATCTTCAATTTCAACCTTGAACAGATAACAACAACCAGAACCAAGGAAAACAAGACTTGGCCAAAGCAACTAAGCAAATTTCTGAGTAGACAAGTCCATAGCCTTTGGTAAGATCCAAGTGGAAATCTTGGCATTTATTACCAGCAAGAACTTAGCAACTTTGCTTTCTTATGCAAGTTCTTCCATCTATAAATGGGGCTAATGATAATGGTTTCCTAATAAGATTTGACACTTTGGCAAGCCTATTACAAATAATACAATAATTCAGACATTAAAATACTACAGGTTACCACTAATAAATGTAAATACCCCATTTCCCATCCATTCCAGAGCAAAAATACAGAGACACTCAGGAGTGCCCCTGTTATCTCCAGTGATTTGGATCTGAGACTGCTGTTTGGGAACAAATTACATCCACTCAACACTGAAGATTTTAACTCTTTATTGCCCCCCCCAAACCTGCCAGCCTCTGTTCTGAGATAAATCTTAGCGAGAGAGACCTTAAGGTTTCTCCTTACTTTCCCTTTCCCCTTGCTTCTCCTAAGGTTAGGGGCACTAAGGGTTAGAAACTCTCCAAGAAATTCCACGCCTAGGGATGAGGATAGGCTGGGTACTCAAGGGAGAGGAACTTGTCACTCAGACAAATCTAAATATTCCTATATCCTAGCTTAATATTTTCTGTATCACTAAGAGCAAAGCAGAGGGAAATGAGAATTTCTTTTTACCAAGTTCTGGCAAAAATTGAAAAATAGCCATCTGATTCCACCTAATTGTTGAGAGGAAATCTAGGAACAAGCGTAGATGTTGCTAACATGGGCACTTCCATGTAAAGACACACTATGAGACATACAGGACAGAGCACAGGATGGTATCTAATTGCACTACAATGAGCAAATTTCTTAACTCCATTCTATTAATGCAAGCAAAGTTAAGTAATTAGTATAAATAGGCACAATAGAAATTGCTGTGGTCGAATATGAAAAGCTGTGGATTCCTTCCAGACTAATGTGGTTTGATCAAGCCAGACTGCCTGAAACAGCTGGACAAAGCAGCCTTACAAACTACAGCCAGGATTTCTGCATCTTCTTAGAATCCCCCATGACAGCGCCCCTTACCAGCAGCAAGTAGTTTGGAAAGAACGACGCCTAAATTCCCAAATATTGTCTATGTTTGTTTTCATTCAAATGGACTTGGTTATATAAAATAACCTACTTTGAGGGTGACAACAGACTGGAAATTACTTTCTATAAAGGAGTTAGAGAAAATTAATATGCTATTTTCTATTCTCCCCATATTTTTACTATCAAAATTTCATAAGCTGTCTGTTGGAAACAATACTTAACCTCCTTGGATGGGATAAGGACAAGTAGGTATTTAGAAGGGAAACTTTGGCACCATAAAATAACATATATTCTAACCAAATGCAACTGAAGCAGTCCTGTAGGATTTTCATACTCCATTGTTAAGTGGTGGCACACAATTTTAATCCCAGCAGAGGGGAAGGCAGAGGCAGGAGGACCTCCGAGAGTTTTAGGCAGCCTTGTCTACAGAGAGAATTTCACGATAGCCAGGGCTATGTGGAGAAATTCTATCTAAAAAACAAAACAAAAAACAATAAAAAAAATACATGGCAAAACCTCATGAGATTGAATTCAGCAAACATGAGTCCTAATCATAATTATTTGACAATTTCCCATGTAATCATACATATCAAGCCAAAATTGTTATGGGATTTGGTGGGCTGATTTACTTTATGTACATGCATAATCAAACCCTTACCAATTATCATATCACTGTGTTAAGTAGAAAAAGAAAACCAAATAAAGTACAGTATATAAAAAAGGAATAGTAATGTTTTCTTAATGAAAATAACCTTATTTGTCTTGGACAGTTTGGATTCTGCAACAAATTGTAAAATATGACACTATAAAGATAGGGGAGGCATTAAATAATGAGAAAAATCTGAGGTGGTCCAAGGCAGGGGAGGGGATCCTAATTAAGCCGAGAGGGTAGTAAATCATTTTGGCATTTTCTAAGAACTTTTATATGAAACACATATGACCTATTAGAAAATATGGGAGTCAACAGATAGTCTTTCTGATGATTTAGACTATATTTGAAGGACAAATTTTGTAAACTCTAGTGCTCTAATGCTCTTCTTAAAAATTACAGTGTTAAAAACACAGGCGGTAGAGATGAACAACAATCCTAGGATGGAACAGTGCAGTCTTTCTGCTGCCATTTCTTGTTACTAATACAAAGACTATAGGCTTCAAACTCCTCCTGGTAAATACTACATAGGGAAGATCACCACACAACTCCAGAGAAAGAATGTGACTTAGTCCCTGACAATTTTTCAGTTAACAATTAGAACTATGTGATAAAAGATTTAGTAACTAAAACTGTCAAGGGCAAGATATGAAATCAGACTAGATCAAATGACAGTTATGCTTTTTGTATACAAGGGTGGCTCTAGTTTATAACTTAACATATGGAAACAGTCCAGCACTACCAACACTTCATTACTGACATTTTAAATGAACAATACTCAAGGGTAACAAAATCTGTTAAAATGTCATTCTACAATTTGGGGGGTATATTTCATTCAAAATGGCATTTTGTAAAATGACAAACTAGAAATACCTTATGACAAATTTGCTTCCATGAGCTACTTAACAGAGTTCACAAAAGTCCTAGTACAAATTAACACACTACTCTACAAATTCTAGTTAGAATTTCAACAGGACAAAAGGAACCACACAACACCTCTAAGAATGAATAAAACTCATCATCAATTAATATTAGTAACCTGTATTAAATGATTTGAAATGTTTTTTATTTAAAATGTAAGAAAATTTATAAAATTGGAGACTCTAAGGGCACTGAGCAGGCAAGTCATTAAGTAGAACTTTACAAATTAATAAAAGCACATTAGCATCACAGAGAATTGAAAGTCCTTAGGATATGTTGAAAGACTAGTAAGATTAGTATGCTAACATCTAGTATGGTACTAGATGTTTATACTGTGCAGGTGAGAAGTAAATTTATTCAGTCAGTTACTACAGATGGCAAAGGAAAAGTTATTAAAAAGTTACAAAACGAGAAAAAATGTTACTCCAAAATGTTTTGGGACAATGACACCATGAAAATTTTATTTTATTTAATATATTTGGTCTACCAGCATTATGCATCATAAAAATGCCTTAAGTACGTATATAAAAAAAACTCGAGACAGTAAATGAAGTACATGAGCTTAAATATAGCACCAAAAGTTCCACGTAAAAATTAACTCACAAGCTCAATGTATTAGTTTCAATTTATTGTGTGCATTTCTGGAAAGAAGCTTTAAATAAGTGGTAAATAATATAGAGAGGGTAAAGAGCACTTCTCTCGATCTTCTCAATGAGGCAAACAATCTTTGAATACTTCAGTAAAGTTCTATCATAAAAATTCTTTAATTTTTCTATTTAAGAAATCTAGCAAGTGAAGTAAGAAAATACCGAGGCCTGCTAACAAAGAATTTTTAATGTAACATATTTACATTGTTTATAAAAGAGGTCTATTTTTAAGCAATCAAACAGCTAGACAAAAATAACAAGTATCCCCAGACCTCAATCAGGGTATTGTGAAAATGGGCTGTCAGTAAATGGACACACTGCCAGAAAAGAGGTGACTTATATTGAGTCATCTCATTTAATTCTAAAAACACGAAACAGACAGCCTACAAATGAACGATGCAGAGCAGCCTTTAGCCAGCTTATTTATCTTAAACTTGGTAGAATTCTTGACATTGGGAGAATACTTGTGGAGATAAATTAAAAGCCAAAGATGAGTGTTCCTGGTAAAAAGGTTCAGATCTTGGCTCACTTCCTTTCTCTCCCTCCTAGATTTACATCGAATCAAAGCACCATTTATAATAAATTCAAAGTTGATAGGCAATGTAACCCCAAAGAAAAAGCACTAGCTACCCATAGCTCAGCTGTGAAAATTTAACAATTTTTTTTTATTAGAAATCTATCCATCTCAGGAAGCCCTGCCAATCAATGAGCTTTGGAGGCTGCTGTGTAAGGCACCAAGCAGCCCACATTTTAAAGTGTTAACATCATACTGATTGCCTAAAGGTGGTCCAAAGAATATCAGCAAGAACTAGGAACATCTTTTCTTTCATAGGAAGGACATCAGTTTCTAAGATTAAAAAAACGATAGTAATAAAATATCGTATGACAACGACCCAATGATCACATGGTACAATCTCTAAAGCTGGGTAGTAGAAAGGTTAACTTCATATTTCTTATATTTCTTTGTCTTGTTAATTTATCTCTAATATGAGTTAAGGCATAAAGCAGCGAGAGTGCAACTGATTCCAAACAACTTGGAATTTTATTGTAAACATCCCATAAAGAATGGCAACAAATTAGTTCAGTATTTTTTCTTATTTTTTTTTTTTTTTTTTTTTTTTTTTTTTTTTTTTTTGTCTTTGAAGGTAATTGCTTATAATGACCGACAACTGCCAAACAAAACATCTTTTATAAACCAAGCCAGTTTTGTTCACCTTTTCCCCCACTGGATTTTAGTTTAATGGACATTCTGCCCACATACAGCATCATATCAACTATTAAATGAATGTTTTTCCATTGTAAAATTTATGGACACTAAGAACAAACATAAAGTACAGTTTTGTTAATACTGTGTAAAAGATTACAAAAGATAGGGATGATAAGTTACAGAACAAAGAAATAAATTACTGATTGCCATCACCACAGTATTGTTTAAAGAATTAACATTTGTAGAACTGCCTAATGTATATTTGGTGACATATGCAAAAACCATATTTTCCAACTGGATTTCTAGGTATTTCGATATGGGATTTTAAAATTACTAATGATGATCTCAATATGTATCAATAATTTTAATTTTTTTAGAAAATAATTACCATGCTTTTATATGTCTAAGTCCCATACTCTAGATGTAATTAAGATAGGTATAAGAATAAGAAAGGAGTATACATATAAATAAACACACCTTAACTCTAAACTGCAGGGCCTTTCTAGTGTACTTCTCTCATAAATGAATCAGAAATTTCCAGTCTGGTTGAAATATGCTACATTAAGTGCAGTCTTCATTGCAGAAAGAGAAGTGGAGATAAGAGCAAGCACGAGAGCAAAGATGACAAAAGAAATACTCAAGGATTAAGAGACTATATTAAGGAACAAATATCAAGAAACCTGAGTGCTATCCATGTTCCACAAAATACAGCACCATGAAAATATTTAACTTTATACTGGATTTTAACCGAAACTTTGTAAATGGGATAAATTAACACTTGGTGAAGAAACTTTGCTAAGAGGTGTAAAGTAAAATATTTCAGCATTAATTTTTAAAAAGATTTAAAACGATCTTACAATGTTTTCAGTAAAGCATTCATAAAGCCTTTTGCACCACAAAGATGTTGTGGAATTGTGGTTAGCATTTAAAATAAAGGACTTTAAATATCAAAAAGTCTTATTCCTTTCCCCAGAACTATTAATTTCAGATTTTCAAATGTTATTGTAATTGCTTAAATGACTGGGCATCAAAATGTAGTGAAAGTCACATGTTTTAAGACTCCTGTTTCAGGTAATGAAAACTGAACTGTAAAGGTAAGTACCAGTTGGCAAATGTGCATATAATGTGTATCATTACCACAAATTTACTAATTTCAAAAAATGCTCAAAATCGGTTTAGTAAAAAGAAGTGGTATTCACATCTTTCCTTTTCATCACTGTATTGTCTGATGACAATCTACCTTAAAATATCTGAAATCTAATAAAGATATATGAGAACTGAATGTGTGGAATAAAACTTGTGAATTTTACTCAATTGCTTTGCCTCTGGGTGAAACAAAACACTATATGGAAGAATTCTAGAATAAGCCTGATTTTGGGGGAGGGAAAGAGGAAAAAGGTAAAAGGCCAAATTAAGAGTAGAGGGGCAGAATCAGTTATCTAAAAGACATAATGACATGGAAGATTAAGCATTAATAAATGCACAAGCTGAGCTCTAAAGAGGCAAATAATTGGTAGACATGGTCCTCCATATAAAATACTCTCTTTTTTAATGTCTGGGATAAAGAAGGTCAAACTGGAAAAAAAACTACATAATACAAGTACACAAACACTTATACAAGAACAAATTTAGTTATTAGGCTAGTAGGTTTGTGAGTGTTTTGGAGAGCATCCTATGGCTAAATGAGATACATACAGCAAGCCAAGGAAGAAACAAGATTCAATTTTATAAACATATACACATGCTAAGATCATAAAGTTCGGAATCCGAACATTAGCATTTATGAGAAATATTATAGCTTACTGATTATTCAGATATAGCATAGGATTAACATTATACATGTGTCTGCTCTCATGGGCCTAAATAGAACAGTGATCTTCATTTGCAGAATTCTTAACTCAATCCCTACTTTCTTTGCTATTGCTGAACCCAGATCTTATTTAGGTTTAAAAGATCTCTAGAAACCTGAAATGACATAGTATTCAATATGATACAAATTATGATGCATTTTGCAGGAAGTGGTGTTAAAAAAAAAACTAAAATATAAACTGAGCAAACGGGGAAGTCCAGATTAAAAAAGTAAAAATTTCCCAGACTTTTATTTTCACACTTATGAAAATAATTTGCATGCAAACAGAAAATTATCTGTTTGTTTTATAATAAAGGATAACTATGTTCACCTAACATACCCTGGTGACTAACTCTTTAAATTCTAAGAACTGAAGTCAACATCACAGCAAAGTGCTGTTACTAGTATTTCACAGTATTTCACTACATATAAAATATGCGTAAAAATGTCTTTAGCCTTATAATGCTAATTATGTAAGCCTAGAAAATCTTGACATCTGGGGAATAAATGTGGCATTCTTATTTTTCAAAATAAATTATAAATAAAGCTCCAGACAGCTAACATCACACAAATGGTAATTCTCCTACATTTCAAGAGGTCAGCTCTTCATAGAAGAATGTCAACAAAAATTTCACACTAAAATGGTACACATGATACATATTTGGGTATATCCAGGAATTTAAGCAACTATATTATGTTGGTTGTTGGAGGACAAAATGTTCCTGACTCCAGGAAAACATAGGCACAATTAGTCTAAATGCCCAAGAGATGAATAACTGAAAAAGTATGTTTTAGCAAAAATCAAAAGTAGACTCTCAAAATGAGTTGTAACCAGAAATAGTTTTGGTATAGTGAAGATAAACAACAACAACAATAACAACAAAACATCAGCCTGGTCTGCTCTCTAGCAACAGACATTAGTGCCATTAACAGGTCATTATACTTTCTTAAAGCCTGAACATCATTTCTACTGCAAGTGAAAATTGCTTAAGGGTATTGTTCAAGAATAGCCCTCCAACCCACCAAAAAACCAAGTTATGTGTGCACTCCTTCCTCAGCACTTAACAGATTTTCAGATGCATGAAATGATTGAAAGCATAAGACAAACATGTCAGCTTAAGAAGTATCCTGGACTAGCAGGTGTACATTAAGAAAATGTTTTGTCACACAAATCTGATCTAAGTGCAACAGAATTGCTGTTACAAAATCAGAGATCAATTGTTATCCCTTCCAGTTCAAGAATTTAAATATCTAACCAAGGAGCGCAACTGAGATGTCAAAGTTGAGGAAAACAATTGATCTTGGAACTGAAGCTCTTATGGAACCATGTGCACTCTATTGCTGTAAACAGGACTATAAATGATTTTACAGATTTCTTCTCAACTATAAAATAAATGACTCAAAATGTCTGTTTGCAGTGCAACGAGGCTCTTTTCTGAAAGTCTAGAACAGAAGAACCCTTTGGAATGAGAACAAAAGAACCCATTAAAGTTGATTCCAAGCATTAGCTAGCAAAAACAGTCCAACTCAAGTTAGGTGCTTTGTTATCCTTTAAGGTTCAAATGAAAACCAGTCACTCACAGCTGTTAAATAATAAGTGGTTGCAGAGATAGATGAGTAGTAGAGCAAGTCTACTTATATAAATATGTTCTACAAAAGCCCAGAGCATATAATACTTAGGAAATTTTGTTACATCTATGGATTTGAGAGCCAATATGATTATTGAAAATTCTCAGCTTATAACTTAGGAGTATTCATCCCTACCAAGCTTGTTCTATTTCTCCTTAGTAACAAGTAACAACATCTATTTTCCTTAGCATTTCCAGTAGTTGTAGTTAATAGAGGTAGCTGAGCTACTGTTCAAAGAAGTTATTCTTTGTGGATGAGGATTTTTTTCAAATGCTTAAGTTACTATTAAGCTATACAAGTTTCTATTAATGCAATAAAATACAACAGGAAAAGAAAAATGGATGCAAGAAACTTTTGCATTTGGCACCTTGTCTAGATTGATACCTCAAGTATTCTCTTTTAATAAAGTTAATGCACACATCAGGACACACCACAAAGATTTGCTACATATTTACAAGGCACCAACCCTTTCTCACCTTAAACGTGAATTTAAGCAAATCAATGAAAAGCATATCAAGATACCCCCCCACCCTACCCCAAAACTGCAGTATAAATATATACTTCAGTTCAGTACAGTTCGTGAAAGTTTGGCCTGGGAAGAGTAAAATAATCCAGATCGTTCTTACAATATAGAAACTGTAAACATTTAATAGCTGCCTTTAGGATTGGTGTATTGTGCAAAAGTTATTATTACTGGGTATAGGAATCAAAATGGCAAAAACAAACTATATAAAACTCTGTAAGAAGGTGCTATACTTCTGTGATACAAAAGCAAAGAGGGATATCTTATTGAGATAAAAATGTCATGCTACTCTTAAGAAGCAGAATGCTCCTTTAATGTAGTAAATCTGTAGTGTGTCTGTGGTGTGTCTGTGATGTGTGTGTGTGTGTGTGTGTGTGTGTGTATGTGTGTGTGTGTGCACTTGTGTGCGCATCTCCACGCATGTGTTGTGCACAAATGTATATGTGTGGGCAGAATTTCTTTTAATTTAAGGCCTAATGAATAAGGCTTGTTTGAACAAATGAAGTGTGGAGATTAAAAGTCTTGAAACAAATGTATACTGGCATAATGGAAAAGCACCAATGTGAAAGGAAGCAGAAGTCCCCACACAACTTGCTTTGTAGATTTTCTGGTAAATTCCCTGCAGTAGAAGGCCATTGATTTTATTTTTAAAAATTATTCTAAATTCATTAACTGTTAATAATTCCATCCCATGAGATGGCTAACCCTGGCTTTTTCGGTCATTTTACGTACTCTGCCTGATCTGGATGTACCAAGATTCAGAGGATCCTCAGTGGACACAAAATTGTCATTATCTGAATCATCATTATATAAAACAGTCCTCCTGCCTTGGTTTCTTGTTTTAATCCGAGGAAGTCTACTGAAACGTCCTGAAAACATCGTATCAAATTCATCATCTGCAACACGTGCTCTTTTGGCTCTGGTGGCTCCTCTAGAGGCACCTCTTCCTCCTCTCCCTCGGCCTCTCCCTCTACCTCCACCTCCACCTCTTCCTCTACCCCCTCGTCCCCTGCCACCTCTTCCTCTGCCTCCTCTACTCCATCTACCCCATCTTCCCCATCTGCCTCTTCCTCCTGTGCCTCTCGTCTTCCAGTTTCTTTTTCCATTGGCATGCTGTTTTCTGAGTTTTCTTTTAGGTCTGGTTTGTATGAATTTGCTATAGTCATGATCTCCATCTACATAATCTTGATCTGTTCTGGAAGTAGATTCAGAGTCAGAGTCAGAGCCACAGGTACTTTCTGAACTTAAACTGGATCCTAACTCTCCACTCTCTGAGGAGGATAAATGTGCTTTTTCTTTTGTTTCTTTCATCTCTTTTTCTTCTCCTCCCATGCTTTCGTCCTCTTCTGATGCACTGAGTAGCTTTCTTTTGGCTCCTGTTCGGGGCTCTCTCCCATCACCATTTGTAAGAGGCCCATCAACAGAGTGATCTAAAGTAAAATAAATGATTTTTAAAAGTTATGTCTTGACATTGTTAAGATACATCCAGACTCAAAAATCAAAATAATCTATTAAAATATTAGTGCCCAAAACTGATCGGATAAAATCAAAGGTGTTGGAATAGATACTTAGATCTAATTGAAGTGAAATCTAAAGTTTTGATTTTTGTTCCATGGCTTCTTTTGAAGTAAAAAACAAACAAAAACAAAAACCTGAAGGATTGTTAGGCTAACTAAACAGAAATTTTATCATAAACTTAAGGAGAATTATAAGGAATCAAATACTTAGCAATTATCAGGAGATTGGAACTTGATGATGAATGAGACAATAATATACCATAATTCATATACTACTCTGGACAGTTTGGATGAAAACAATGTGAATAAATAATGAATGTACTTTTAAGTAGAGATGAATGCTAAAGAATGAAAACAAGAACAAAAAAATATTTGACTGTTTTGGGGTACTATTTAGAACAATGACATGTCACTTAGCATGTAATATTGAAATAAATACTTAATGAAGTTAAATGGGTGAAAATTTGAGCACCAGAGAAAGAACTAAGAAAATCCAGTTTAGCCAGGATGGATGGTAGAAGATGATTAGAGAAAGACAACATCCGATTTACATTTAAAAAAAACTTTACTGGTATTATATAGAGTACAGATTGTAGAGGTGGTTAGGACAGCAGTGGAGATCAGCTGAAAGACCTCTGCAGTCAGTAGTCTAGGTAAGACATAATGAAGTGTCAGGAAGTGATACCTAATCTATTAGAATATTTCCCCCTAGAAGGTCCACCAGAATCAATCTTTTATTTCAAAGGCGGAAACAATGAGATCTGCTGAGGGGGTTTCAATGTCAAATACTAAGAACAAAATTGTATCTCCTAAACTTTATTGTCTGGGAAATAGGCAAAAATATTGGCTAACTTGAAAAAACACTGAATATTGACCAAGTTTGGGCAGTGTTCTGAGAAAAAGTCAAGTTTTCTAGTTTTAGATGCCAGAAATCTTAGAAAAGACATGAAAAGGCAAACAGGGATTAAGAGGATATTTCATTGGAAATATGCTTAGCATGATGCATGAAAACCTGGGTTAAGCTCCTGATACGCACTTGCATGTGTATTACATAAGCATACCAAAAAAGATAAAATCATGTAGTCATACAAGCTGGATCTCATAAGATTATGGCACTAGAGAGAGAATTCTAGAAATTGTTGGTTTATGGAGAGAAAATAAAGGGAAAGAGACTGCATGAGGAAAGCAAGCTATGTTATCCTAACATTTAAAGATAAAATTCCTACATTGAGATCCTAACTCCCAAAGTGACTTCAGTTGGAGATAGAGTCTTTTATGAAGTAATGAAAGTTAATCAATACCTAAGTGTTACTGAAAAAGGAAGAGACTCAGAAGTTTCTAAGTTTCTCTCTATCTCTCCACATCCCCCCACCCCCCAAACACACACAGCTGGGGGTGGGGGCAGCAACAGAGAAACACACAGAAAGACAGAAATATAGAGACAGACAAATGGGCTACAAGGGACACAACTTAAATGTGGTATTTTATAAGCCTAAGGAAAATAAAGTTCTTGTTAAATAACAAACTCTATGAACCTTGATTGATTTCTTGGACTTGGAGCCTCCAGAATCATGGGAGAATGAAAGTCTGTTGTTTAAGCTGCTCACACTGGGATCTTGTTATGGCTGTCTAAAGTGACTAATACACTCAGCTAGAGACTAAGCTGGTGTCACAAAAACAGGAGATAAGATATCTCAGTAGTATTAAAGAGTTACAGAGGAACTGGAAAGATGGTAAACAGGGCTTGCTGGTCTTGCAGAGTTCAGTTCCCAACACCCACATGGGTAGCTTAAAACTGCCTGTCTCCAGCTCCAGGGAATCTGATCCTGTCTTCTGGCCTCTGTGGCACTGCACTAATATGCACAAACCCACAATCAGACACAAACATAGACAAACACAAAATTTAAAAGATGTACAGAATTAACAAGGCTTTACAACTATGTGAATGTGGAAGGTAAATGGAGAGTTAAAAATTACTGAGTAGGACATGGTGCATGCCAGAATGCTAAAGAAACTGAGGTGAGCTTAGACTACATAGTAAGAACACACCTTCAAAAACAAGAGATTTAAGTCAAATGCAAAGGATGACCTTGAGACAAAGATAATGAATATGAATGAAACTTATTTTTAGGAAGCACCTGGAAATGAGACTGGGGGAATGAATGGATGTTTACATTTATATATTTACAGAGCCACTAGCATCAAGAAGACTGGTTTAAACTGAAAATGCTTTTAATGCCTTTAATCCCAGCACTCAGCAGGCAGAAACAGGCAACCTGGTCTACACAGTGACTTCCACGTCATCTAAGAACTACACAGTGAGACTATGGCCTGCAAAAAAAAAAAAAAAAAAAAAAACAAAAACAAACAAACAAAAAACAAACAAACAAAAAAACCCACAATGACTGGCTTAGTCAACATATTTATTAGAATTCTTTATTTGCAAAAGACAAACATCAAGTGAGCTAAAGAAAAAATATCATAGAAAACTGCAAATAAAACTCAGAACAATCAGAGCAAAGCAAAAGTACTATATAAGAATATCAGTAAAGTCTGTAAGTAAGCCAGAAAATAGGGCTTAGAGAGGAGGCAGAAACAGTGTTTAGTGACACAGAGATCAAGAAGTCGGGGACTAAGGAAAGGAACACTGATTGGGCAGTCTACGCTACTGGTGATTTAGGGAGAAGAGCTTTTTTGAGAGTGCCTTTGAGATTGCCTGGCACAGAAACTAGGCTAAAAAGGATAAAGGGTCCTGGATGGAAGAGGCAGGAAATATGAGTTACTCTGTCTATAATCTTTTCCCATGAAGAACTGTGAGGAAGTCTGCAGCATAAGTATGAACAATGCAACAGAATCAGAGAGAAGAAAATTACAAAGCGGGAAATATAAAAGCACATATTAAATTAATAAGCTTCAATTAGCTCAGATCAACTACAACATGTTTCAATATTTTTCATATAACCAATAATATACTTATGGTCTAGTTTAGATCATCTAGTGATAATAAAACAATACATAAGAAAATTAGTATTAACTAAAATGTGTATGAATTCAAATGGTATTCCAGTAACACATTTGTAAAAACAAATCAGATATATGAACCTGGAATTTTCTTTGAGCATGCTCAATGTGCATACAGGACTCTGTATAAGAGCTTCTGGATAACAGTAAACTTCAAGTGGCATACAAGACAGGTAAATATGAACATGAATTTGGTCAATGATTTATGTAAGCACAATTTTTTCTTCAAATATAGTTACTAGAATAGCCTGTAAAAAGACCTTTTAAAACATGACTTTTGAATCTTTTTCTTATTGACATGGCTTAGTATATGAAAAATTCTAAATGTTTCTAACAGTCTGGTTCTTATGCACTTGGGAGAATTTGTCATTATTTTTTCCTCTTATTTATTTCCTTTTATATTTTGTTCAAAAGTAGTTACTAGACATCTGTTTCTAATTGTGGTTATAAAATTCCATTTGACTTAATTTGGCTATACTACAATTCTTATTAAGTACTAAGACATACAATTCTTATTAAGTACTAAGACATACTAGTTGTTTTATCCTAATACATCAGATTTTAAAATATCTCATCATCCATCATAAGAAAACAGAGAATAAGATACCTCTCCAATATTCAATTCCCTACCTTGTTTAGCTGGTAAAACTTTATTACGAAATGATTTGGTTTTCCCTGGGTCATGGCTATTTCCACTTCGGCTATTTCCACTGAAACTTGATGGAGAAAATGGTCCATCTCCTTCATCATCAAGTAGATATAGTGAAACACCTTCAGCAGCATCTGAAACTTGCATTTAAAAAAGATTGTAATGTCAGTATAATTTCACTTTTTATATACTGCTTTTAAAACTGTACCTGCACTACTTTATATAAAATTAAAAGTTGCTTTACAACTGGTAGCACACGTATATTCCCAACTTTCTGGGGACTCAGCTAGGAGGACAGTGACTTTGAGATCTATCATGGTTACTTAGCAAGACCCTAAAGCCCACCTCCCAAAGTAAATGTGAATATTTTACAAGAAAATAAATTATTTATCATCACGAAACTTTCGATCACAAAATGTAAACAAAACAAACAAAAATACCCAAGGAAATACCCCTATCAGTTTTAATCTGCAACTCATACACTGACTGCTATATTGAACAAATTCTTGTAATATTGTAGATAGTAAAAATCTTATAGAACTTTCAAAGGAACAATTAGATTTATCTAGTTAGGTGGTGTTAAAAAGAGATGGCTCAGCATTTAAGAAAATTGTTAATCCTTCCATAGGATCTAGGGTAGATTCCCAGCACCCACATGGCAGCTCACAACCATCTGTAATTCCAGTTTTAGGGGATCAGATACTCTCTTTCTGGTCTCTGCGTGTATCAAGCATATACATGGTGCTCAAACACACATGTAGGCAAACTACTTATAAAAAACACAAACTGAAATTTTAAATAATGATCTTGAAAAATCACATAGTTAAACAAAGAAACCAAGTAACATTATCTCTTAGGAGGGCCATATAGCTATCAAGTAGAATAGTGCTTAAAATGCAATTTTTCTAAATCGAAATTTATTGCTGTTTGCTCTATAAACAGTGATACCACCTCGATATCCTTTAATCACCATCCAACTGTAGAACACAAAACTGCAGATATACTTACCAGGAGAAGAAAAAGGAGAACTAGTCCTGGCATAAGACACTGAGGTATTCTGGTCATTTTTAGGCTGTAGCTTCATTTGCTTCTGTTTCCCTTTTGGACTATAAACCAAAAAAATATAGAATTATGCTCACTTTTTCTCAGTCATTCAAAATGATAAATAACATTACATAAAATTCATACGGTAACCAAAAAGAAAACTGCCTAAAATTCAAGGGCAATGTCTAAAATAGGTGATATGACAATGTTAAACTTCAACCATTTAATAAAAGAAAAAAAAAGATAAAAATTTAAAGGCATAGTAAGATGGACATAAACAGTGCTTTGGGTTAGAAACTACTCCTTTCTATGGGAATAAGAATTCTTGAGTCTTTTGAGAGAGCCAGAATTTATTCATAAACTCTTGCACACACAGAACGCTTTAAGACATAAAGTGCTATGTCGATGTAATATACCTAGGAGCCCTGCTGCTAGATAATGAGCTGCTGCTGCTCCGCAGGCGCTTTCTGTACCGTGGCCTTCTCCTCTTCTGACTTTGGATTGCTGACTTATATTCAGAGATGATATTTTTAATGTGATTTTCAAATAAGGCAGACAATCTCAGCGTCATGCTATAGACCTGTAAAGGTAAAAAGCACAGCTGGGTTTTAGCAATTACTTTAGTTAGAGGCAAAGTATGAACATATTTGGACCATTATAAAAATCATTCCAGATGAAAAACACACACTATCTATTTGAAAACTTCTTGAGGAATTACGATGTCATTTTCATTTATTAAAAAATAATGAAACGTAAAAAGATAATGTGTAGTGCTGTGAAAAACAGGAACAATTCCTCATATATTTTAAGAGAGAATTTTCACTGAACCAATATTCTAAAAGACAATTTAAAATATGTATCATAAAACTTTAAAGAAATACCTATCCTTTGTCTAATGATTTTACCTCTGGGAATCTGTTGTAAGAAACCATCAGGGGACTGTACACACATGATAAACAAGCTCTGTGATATTAAAGGCATTAGCTATAGTCATTGTTCATATAAAGTGGAAAATTATTTTTTAAAACTTCAAATTTTCTAGCAACATTATACTAGTAAAACACAAAACCAATACAACCCTAATAAACCATGAAATGATCAGATCAAAGAATATCATAAAAAAAACTTATTTTAAACAAACAAAATATAGATCAGATCATCTCTTAAGCCTCATTAGAGAAAATTCCTCTTTGCAGCAATGACATTTAACATCAAGCCCCACAATTGGTCAATGTGCAGAAAACAAAAGGTAAAGTGTTCAGCCCAATCAGACTTTCATATCTCACCCCAAGGCTCAGGGATCTTCACAGAAGAGAGAGTAGAAAGAATATAAGAGCCAGAGGCTATGAATGACTTCAAGGAAACAGTGTTTTTTAGACAAGCAGGACAGATGCAAATATGAACCCACAGAGAATGTGAAAGCATGCACAAGACCTGAACAAGGTCCAGACAGACAAAATCCCAGCTTACAGGGCAGGAAGGTTGATATGTAATCCTAACCACTAGCTGAGGACCTATAGCATTTAATGGATGCTGGGAGTGGGAAAGTCATTTTCTTTAATGATGTGACCCCCCCACTGGTTGGCTGACCAGAACAAGGTCTCACACACTCCAGAACAAACCCTAATTGCAAGACCGTCTGGGTAACACAAACTGGCTTGATGAGAAATGAATTAGAAGAAAAAAGTAATGTCAAATTTGGGTGTGAAGGGATGGGAGTTTGACAGGGTAATAAGTGACTATGTATGAAATTCAAGTAATTAATAAAAATTACTTTAAAGTCATAATACATATGTAACAAAGACTTGAAATATGAAACCTAATGTTTTAAAAGCATATGAATCATAAGTACTAGTGTAGATAGGCCTAGAAGTAAACACATTAATATTAAGTATAAATAAAATGTAATAAAGTCTGATTTTTAAAATATTTTTCTATATTTTTTCAAACTTTTTATAGAGACTGCATTACTCTAAAAATTATGATGAAAAGGAAAAAGCAAATGTAAAAAAAAATTATGCCTAGAGAAATTGGTAAATATTTACTGTATATAAAGAAGTTGAAGCAGGTAGATGTACACCTATCATGTAACTAATCTGACAGTTAATTGGACACTAGTGACTCAAAAAGGTAAATATTACTGTTACTATTTCTTGTTCTCAGGATATTTTCACTTTTGACAATACATAGGGAAATATTTAATGTAAGTATGAATAAAATTGTAACTTCCAGACAGGATTCAATATTTGTGATAGTAATGGGAATCTGCATATTAAGAGCTAATTAAAACACTTACTATAAATTAATATTGTGAGCTACCTTTATATTTATCAGTTCATTTACTGGAGATTTGAGTATTTAAATTATTAACTTTCCATTCTTTGTCTTTTCTTTGGCAGATGTAATTATCATTAAAGAATAAAGAAGAGTTAGATAAGAGAAAGAAAAAGCTGGTTAATTTTAGAATGATTATTCTAAAAGTATATTTACATATGCCTTGAAAAAAATCCAGAATTCAGAAAAGATACTGAGAGTGAATCCTCAGTAACTGTGTCAAAATAATAGAATGTACTTGTTTACAAATCTTAAAAGCTGTGCAAGGAAAACTGCCTGAAATACATAACTGCCCATTTAATATTAGTTTCATACCCTTGACTTTTTATTAGAAGTATAAGCTTTGGAGTTGCTGAATATTTGGCGAACATCTTTATAAAATTCCAGAGGACTATCATAATTTCCTGATTCCAAAGTTTCTTTCACAGTGCTGAAGTCCATAGGTGTGTCTATAACATCTTGATAATCCTACAAATGATAATGTGTTACATTTAAATACTCAAATTGCAAAACAATTCTAAATAAAATAGCACTGAGAATTACATTACCCACTGATGCAAGTTATCTTGACACAAACACTACTTTTATGTCTACCAACTACTTATTCCCACTCCCAAACCAATTTCTTTTTAGATTTCTGAAAAGAATGAGTTTAAAGAGTTAGAAGAGAAAAGTCAAAGTCGCTGGCTAGAGCTGCTGATACCTTGCCAAGTTATCTAATGACAGCGAAGAGATTATTCGGGTATAATTGAATAGTTCCACTCCACAAACTAACTACATTATTTCCAAGATTCTGAGTTATGACATTTCACATAAGCTGTCTTTAGTTGAAGTCAAAGTTAAGTGGTCCATGCTCTTCTCTGTCTCTATATGCAGTGGAAGCTGGCTTGAAATACCTTATTCTCCCCCCTCAGCCTCCCGGATACTAGGGTTATGCCTCTGCATAATCACATTTGCCTCCCTTTTGATTCTTTAATCAATGTGATTTTTCATTTCATCTAAAGTTTTCAGTCTCACCGATTCAAAGCTTAGTTTGATTTTAATTAGGAGAAAGAAAAAAAAAATACATTTTTAACTTAAATCGTTCAGGCTAGTTAAGTTTTTCTTAGGGAATCATATTGGATAGTATCTGAAATAGATTTGTCTTTCCTACTACCCTGAACACACAAGTTTGAGTAAAATACACAAATATTTAGTAACTCACTCTACTTAGAATATTAAGAAATAAAACCACCATATTGTTCATCTAATAATAAAGTAAAAAGAGGAAAAAGTGGCAGAAAAAAGGTATAGGAGAAAATGTCTTTCCAAAGTGTAAAAGAAAAAAAAACATAATTGCTTTAAATAGATTTTCTTAAATTATAAAAACACCAAAAGTATATTCCAACAGATTATGCCTTAAAAAGCACTAATAGCTTCATAAGGAATAATGTTGGAACATGGATAAAAAGACAAAATGTCAAATTACTCAGCTGACTATTTAAGGAAACCAAAGTGGGGGAATTATCATCTGTGATACAGACATAACAGTACATTGAGTGTCCTCAGCTTTGCTGCATGGCTTTCTTTCTATATCTCCAAATAAACAACTATATGATGTCATGAAGAACAACTATGCAACACATGCTGATTCAAAAACAAAAATTAAAAAATTAAAATGATCAAAAAAAATTAAACAAAGGTATAAAAAGAAACTAAGTTGAATTGAAAGGCAAATTGAGCAAATTGCACAAAATTTGCATACAGCATGAAAACTTTCAAATGAGACACCACAAAAACAGCCTAAGCCTACCTCAGAATGAGATGGATCTTGTCTATCTGGAAGAGCAGATGCTGAGGGTTCTGGGTCTTCTTCTTGCTGTTGTTGAGCCTATTTGAATAAAGAACACAGACAATTACCACATCACCACTCCACAGTATCAAGACTTGCAATGAAACTGTGATTTAAGGCTCAAAAATCCACAAATAAAATGATATTTTACTTGAAAGAAGTCTATATTCACCATATTCTGTTTTGAAAAAGACAAGCCTAATATGTCCTCCTCAAAGTTCCTACAATAAATCAAACTTACTTGAAAGTAATATTGTTACTTATTTTTCTTTTAAGAAATACACACTATATTCTCAAGTGTCTAAAGTTTATGGAGTTGTTATGTATGTATAAAAAGAATCCTAACTACAGGGTAGAGTAGTGTATGTCTTTAATCCTAGCATTTGGGAAGCTAAAGCTGGAAGAAAAGAAACACAATGTCAGATTATGACACAGTAGTCCCATTCCAGCCTGGAGTATATAGTTAGACCCTGTTTTAAAAGTAAAAATTAATTCTATAATCAAAACTGTCATATTGTTATCATGGTTGAAAACTAATTTGGCATATGAATTATTTTATGTGGCCACATTGATAACAAATTTATTGTAAATTAAGCGGGTCTGACATATTATTACTATGTCTATAGTGTATAAAAGTGTAATTACATATTATTAGACTATCCTAAACAAAGTATGAAAGAAAATGGTTTCTTGTAGTGAGATAGTCCTTCTGTGGCACTGACCGCGCCCATTGGGGGTGGAGCCTTGGGCGGAAGTGACCTGTGGAAGGAGGTTGGAGGAAGAGCCAGGAAAAGCTCGCTCTCTTGCTGGCGTGACCCGGACAGGAGAGCATAGGGTGGAAGTTCCTGGTGTTCATCTGTCTAGGTTGTAAGTTATTTCTCCCTGAATAAACATCTATTCGGCCTATTTGTTTATCCTGTTTATCCTGATCCTTATTTAACCGCAATATCTGGTGTCAGAAGCGGGATTAGGATTTTCATGGGACCTGGGTTTCACCCAGGCGGCAGACGCCGCTCCCCTCCCGCACCTTCCCCAAGGGGCAGGGTCCCTTGCCTAACCAGGTGGACTCACCACAGCTTTGGGACAGATCTTTGCCGCCAAAGAAGACCTGAGAAGGCACTCACCACTTCTCATTTTTTGCCCATTCCCGCATTCGCGCAGAGCTGCTCCCGCCCTGCTTTTGCGTTTTCCCGCCCTTAGTCTTGTGGTCCCAGCAATTCCACAAGTCTCCTTTTAACAAAATTTCGCTTGCCATAGTTTGTTAAGAGCTATTCTACATGGACCGGAATCAGAAGGATCATCTGCTGCTGGGTGATATTTGGCGGTACACTTTGGGCAGAACCAGGATCAGACGGACCTCGGTGGCGGGCGGAAAAAAACGTACTCCTTACAGTTTCTTGTTAGTTTTCTTTTAGATGGAGTCTCACTATGCAGTCCTGGCAAGACTGGATCTCTGTGAAGTCTAGGCTACCCTCAAATTCCCAGTTACCCACCAGCCTCTGCCTGGGATTAAAGGCATGTTCCACCATATCCAGCTGATTCAAATTTCTTTTAGAAACTATATAACTTCCATACTAAGTCCATAAGAAATATTTTAAAAAGTTATGACTAAAAGTAAAGAATTGGGGAAATTGATCATAAATAGATACTAGCTCGGATAAATAATGAGAAATCCTGTTGGCAGTCATTTAAGCAATGGTATGCTTACTGGGAAAGACTGAGGATCTGCTGGCTGTCGAAATGGCTCTGAATCTTCACGTTCATAAATGAGGCTCAGTAGTTCTTGACATTGTTTTTTCCAAGCATCAGGATTACACTTGGAAGACTGTCTTCTGCCTCGGCATTTGACCTACAAATTTAACAAAATTAATTTTTCCTTAACTAATCCTTGATTTTCTCAAAAAAGTCTAATATTATCAAAGTCAAACTCTAACCAGTCGAGCTAACATACCCATCATTCTAATGGAAGTCACCTACTTAAGACAAAACAGCTACTATTTAGTTTTTAATTTATCATACTTTCTGGGGGAAAAAAAACCAAAGCGAATGACAACAGTTCTAGTATTCTGATTTTTCTTTTAAGACAATCTAAACTGCAAATAACGTACAGACAAGTAAATGTTTCCCCACTCACCTTGATTTCAAATGCTGGCCTTTGGCCAGTATTTGGGAGCCTGAACTGTTTCTTGAATTGTAAAGACTGTTTATTTAAACAGTATAAACAACATAATCTATGCAGACAAGCCACTAGTACAATTCTTGGTAACCGAGTCACTAATCACATACATGTTTTTCTGTTTACATTGATGTAAGTAGAGTGTGCTGTATGGTCCCTCATAGGAGAGAGAGAACATTGGGAACCTGTATGGTTTCATCCAGCCCTTGTTGTCTTTTTTTTCTGGGATTGGGCTATATATCCTGACCCACTGCTGTAATAAAACTAAATCACGTCTAATCTATGTATTTGCTTCCAAGAGTTCCACTCAGGAAACCCGGAAATGTTTTGTTCTCAGCAAGGCACACATTTACTTACCCTTCTTCCAGATGAAGTTCCAGGACCATCTGAATCTAAATCAACCATTTCTGTATCCTAAATTTAAAGAGGAAAGTGAGAGACACTAAGTTAACTTTAGAAGTGTTACAAAGTAAATGCACGCTAACAAGTAAATGGCAAGATAATGACAGTTAACATTTCTTCATTGGAGCAAGAAGCAGAGCAAATGTAGGAGGGCAATTCACCTGACACTTTGGCAATATGTTGTGTACAGGTTAGAAAATACACTGGGAGAAGAATTTGAAAGGCTTTTTCTTTAAACTAGGATAGGAAATGAGGAAAAGGGTGAACTTCCTTGTCAGGTAAGTATGAGTGTTAAAAAAAAAAAAAAAACCTTATCCTATGTGACTCATTCATTTAATATACCATAATTATGGAATACTCCCAATTAAACATTACTATTTCAAGAATTAGTACATTTTCCCCAGGGAAATATAAATTTGTCCTTATATCAGAGAGATAAGTTTATCAACACAAAGTCAAGAACAAGGCACCACCGGTGAAGGGCAAAACAACTACACAACATACAGGAGAAATGTGATCAGGACTTATTGATATTCCTTTCCAATAAAATCAAGCTGTTAAAACATTGCCTCCAATTTCTAATCTAAACAAAAGAGTTTAAGTTTGTGAAGAAATTCTTATGTAATCAAATCCTAAATGAAAATATATTTATATTAATGATTAGAAAAAAATAAAGAAAAAAAATTTTCTTGGATTTTTAATAAGTTAATGTCTTACTGCTGTATTACATTTTCCATATTATTTGTATAAATATCATTTAGGTATATTAAAATACATGATCTGATAGAAATAATTTTCAGCAGTAAAGTGTCACTTGAGATTACCATTTTAAAGACTAATGATGCAAACAAAATGGTGTGGGATAATTTTTTTGTATACTATAAAGGTGTGTCTCTGCTTAAGGTACCTTCTGATACCTTAATAAAGAGTTGAATAGGCAGGAGAGAATATGCAAGACTTCTGGGCAGAGACAGGAACTCAGAGTTAGAATCTGGCACTGCAGGAGGCAGGAGACACTAGAGACACATGGAGGGAATCAGACATATGAATGGAGGAGAGGTAAAGAGCCACTTGGCAGAACAGAGATTAATAGAAATGGGTTAAAGTTATAAGAGCTAGTTGGGAACAAGCCAAGCTTTCACAATTAATAATAAGTCTCTGGTATCATTATTTGGGAGCTGGCAGTCCAAAGAAAGTCTGACAAAAAAAAGTAACTACAACAAAATAAACATGAAAAATATCTTATGGCCCTCCAACAGGATCTAGCATATTTGAATTTTTTATTTTATCTCTGGGATGAACTGTTTTCTACTAAACACTGTGAATTAGACAGAGGTACATGAAAGTCTTGCTAAGAGTATTAATTACACTTCATTCCAAAAGGACTGACTGGGTTTAAAACTTCCGAAAAGGAATGCCATAGCAACCCCATGCATCTAACAAACATTTAGACATTCAAATGCATAATTTAAAGATCTTTTCCTATTTTACATATTATTAAAATAAAATCATCCCTAAAATTAGCATGAACTAAACAGCTTTTTTTTTTCTTTTTTTTTTTTCAAGACAGAGTCTCTGTGTAGCCAAGACTGTCCTGGAACTCTCTCTGTAAACCAAGCTGGCCTTGAAACTCAGAGATCCATCTGCTTCTGCCTCCTGGGTGTTGGGATCATAGGCATGCACCACCTACACCTGGCTCTAACTAAACACTCTTAAAATATTGAATGCAAAGAAAAAGACAAAAAACACACAAGAAACTAAGCAAATAAAATAAAATGCTGAGTACTTTGTCTCATTTTCTGAGGGCTAGAAATCTGTTGATTATATAAATGCACCAAGTTTCAAGGGATGACCTATCTCTGACAATACCTTGTCTACAGCACATCATTAAGTTTTTGGTATATACCAGCTGAACACAGGTAAAATGAGGTTAATATATAAGATTCAGATATTCAGCTACCTCCCTAAAATTTTCACTATTCATAACCAATTATAGTATTCATTAACACTTACTGTGCCCCCAATACCATAATGGAAATACAGTCACAATTATCAAGATGTGATCCTTACCTCCTCTGCATCACTGCTGTTCAGTTCTTCTGCTTTGATTTTATTGTAAGTATCCAAAATATCAGTACAGCTCTGATCCCTAAGAAACAGGATAAGTAAGGCAAAATACATTCCAATACTTAAAAAATAGAATGGTAGTCTCTGTAGTAGGTAACACTTCTTACCCAATAAATCGAAGTAAGACATCAGTCACAATCTTGGCTGCTTTAACAATAGGACTATCTGGCTCATTGAAAGTCCTAGCATTATGCTCAATATAGCGTACCTCCCACATTAATGCTGATATTCTCCTATGAAATAAAAACATCCTGTTAGTTTTGGCCTGATACATTTTAATTAAATGCCTAGAATGTGCATTATTAGACTACTAGGCACTTTATCATACTATGTCAAAGGTATTTCAATACATGGATGTAGCACATATATATTGTGTGACTTATTCATGCTTAAAACATCAGATGGGCCAGTGAATAACCTTAAAATCTGACCTTGACACTCAGGATCCCACAGTAGAAGCAGAGAACCAACTCCTGAAAGTTGTGCTCTGACTTCCGTATGTATACAGTCCCACAGGTGTGTCACCCCCCCACACACACATATATAAAAAGCAACCCAAAAGTGCATGGACAAATCAAAAATCATGTGTAGTTTAAGTGAAAGGTCAAAGAAAGTAGGAAGGGAGGGAGGGAGAGACAGGAGAAAGGAAGAAAGGAAACCATAGTGTGGAAAACTGCACATTTTCATCTAGTTATGTTTGATATATATTATCAAATGAAATGATAACTATTTTATAAAATACACCCATTTTATAGTACCAGAGGCAAACTAAGAAGTTCATGAAATAGTGTAGGTAGTGTAAAGTGGACATGGCTGAACAAAGGAATAAGAACTGACCTCCAAAGCCCATTTATAACAATTTTTCTCCTAAGCTAAAATAAACAACAAATAATTTGGTCTATTTATGTACTAGCAATTGAATTTTGCCACTGTTTAATTCCCCAAGGAGGATTTTCAATATGCTGCATTATCACTGTGGCGTCTTGATCATGATACATTAGATTACTACCCAATCTGCCTTTAGTAAACTAAATTTACTGTAGTTTATCTTTGTTTCCATATAAATTTTTAGTCTGCAAGTGTGGTAAAATGTAAGGAACTTTGGAGCATGTTTTTGGAAGATTATATCAGACATCAAAATCATCCTTAAAAGGCATGAGAAACATAAAACTATGACTTCTATAATAAATTCTAAAACAAAACAAACCTGTAAAAGCGATTTTCAAGTCTTTGTCTGATGGTATTGAGGTCAGTTGGATAAGCAACTACAGTACAGTACAAGGGGTAGGCACTGAGATCCACTGGAACAGCAAACGGGCTGGCAAAATCTACAAAAATCACCAAAAATTTAAAAACCAGCTATTAAAGAGACCAACATTTCTTGTTAGTGAATATTCACATATAAAAAAGAACGAAGGACAATATATTAAATTTTTATGAAAATAATTCTTCAATTATATAAATTATTGTCACTTTTTCTTTGGACAAAGTATCTTTGCATCATGCAGGATATATTGGTTCAAATTAGATAAAATGAAACAAAATTAAATGAGAAATGTGCCAAATTTTCATTTTTGTCTTTCCTGAATAAATTCCAAACTTCTCCAGTGATATATTTTAGTAAATATAGCTATTTATGTGAGTAAAATATATTACTCACCCACTGTCTTTACCAAGGAAGCCCTCCAAAGTCAGGCTCAGGAACTAGCTAGAGAGCCAAAATGACTCAAGAAAGAAACAGAGACTTACATGCCTGCCTTTACTATTACCCCCCAGAGTGATGAGATAGTTGATCAGTAATTACTTTAGCCAAACATAAAAAAAACTTGAACATTAAACTAAAATCACTGTGCCTGTTGAATTAAAGGTAAAGTATACTGTGATAAACTATGTTTCTCTGTGCAGCATTTAAAAAGTCTGCTGGCTTTCCAAGCTCCCCATTCTTTTCCTAGTATTTTTTCACATTCACCATACCCAGGGAAAGAAGGTGGTTGATGCCCTGAATAACTCGTTCACATTCCTCATCTCTGGAATGAGCCCCCCACTCTCCTTCCTGGGGTTTATATAACAAAGCAGTCAGTTCTTCCTGGGACACAGGAACACCAGCACCAACTTCATCTGGAAAAGCAGCTAGGTACAAGAAAAATCCAAAACAATTAGTGTCCAACATCAGACTACTGTCAACTTGCATTTCTAAAAATTGTCATTAATTTTTAAAGGTATATTTACTTCCTTCAGGAATTGGCTCCATATCCCAGGGGCTCATCTTTTCTCTTTCATTATTGTCCCAGCTATCAACAAAAGAAGAAGATGCAAATCAGATTCCCAAGCATTTCCTTTCATGTAGTAACATAATTTGCATGATTTCTTGAGGGTGAAATTTAGAAAAAAAAGCACCATAGTATTCATGATAGTACAACTCTGCTTATATAAAGACAGTAATAAACCACTGACATTGAAAACATGCTACACCTATATAAAGTTAAGAAGGCAGAAGAAGCCCACTCTTTCACAGTAGATTTTTTTCTTTGCTGATGCTGTCCATCAAGAAGATATCTAAAATTAATCCATTGAAAAGAATACAATGATCTATTTGTAAAACAAGTTTTACGAGAAAAAAGTTGATATAAAGAGACAGTATTTATCAGAGTTACAAACAAGCTATACTTACTGAACACTGTAACACTGGAAAGAGCTATCAGGATATTCTGGCTGAAAAGGCTGCTGACTTTCCACAGTTCCAAACCACCAGGCGTCATCTATTATACTGCGGAATCTATCCCCTGTAATGAATTTTTAAAAATTTAAACAGCTCTATTACCACTCAAATTATTACATAGTTTTAAATGCAGAAGTAGCTTGTATTTAGCGTTATCAAACACAATTATGGTAAATTCTATAAACCTGACATAGTAAGAGATTAGAAATTGTATACTATAATAAAACAACAATTAAAATATAATATAATAAAAGTTTATGATGTGGTTTCTCTTAAAGTACTCTATTGTATGATATTCACCCTTTCTTTCTGGGATTATATGAGCTTGTACACTGAGATGAACTGAGGTGAATAATATATGCCTTACATAATCGGTACTTGAATTTACGCACTATAATATACAAAACAGTTGGAAGACACAGCTGAGAATAAAAGGTAAGTCAAGTATGTTTGCTGGAAAACTGACATCCCAGGTAAGAAGGAGTATGATCATGTGAGAATGTATTATATTATTCAGACTGAGGAACAAATAATTATGAGTTATTACTGTTGATATTTTCCATTTTATAGCTGCAAACTACTGGACATAGGCAAGTAAAACCACCTAATGTGAAATGAGGTACAAGGGTAAACTGCTAGTAATTATCACACAATATGTATAAAGTTACTTAAAATTATATTTAATTTTTTGGTTGCCTTATAAATTTTACTTCTTTGTTCAGTTAAATCTTGAACTAATTTCCTTTTGTTTAAATCAATATTGTATTTCTAGCTTAGTAACTATAAGTGACAATTTACTTATTCTTACCAATCTGCCAGTTTCTTTCTTTGGCTTCATTATAAAACTGATGTAACACGAGGAAATCAATAACATCTGGCATGTCATGATACCTATACAGAAAATAAAGCACAGTAGCATCTAATGCTGTAATATAGTAGTATTTATCACTCGCTCCATTTCCAAGGATAAATATTTGACATAGAGGTCATTAAGCAAAGTTTTGTAAACTCCATGGTCTGCAGAAATGTCTTTACTTACTATAAAGATATTAACAGAGGCTTTAAAAATTTTAAATGGAGACCATCAAAAATTTAAAAAGTGGATCACCAGGTGTGGTGACACACATCATTAACCTTGGCACTTGGGAAGCCGTGGCAGGTGGATCACTTTGAAGGCTGGCCAGGGCAACAAAGTGCGATCCCACCTCAAAAAATATGGATTGACATTTTTTTTCATTCTCTTCAATTTTATATTTAAATCCCATGAGTAGTCATATACTTACTTGCCCTATTATTACTCACAAAACAACATCAACTAAGCATACTCTTAAATGTTGGTTTTTTATTCCTTGCAATTCTAAGGAAAGCATTGGCAGTTCAGCATGTTCATTTTACACAAACAGACTAAGTACCTTGCTTTGATTAGGGATCAGTTCACCCATTTGCATCACACATTAGACATAGCAAGAAACCAAAACCTACTCAAATCTATAATTCTACACCACAGTACTTCCCCTCCCATTGTTTTTGAGCTCTGAATTGAATATTAAATACACTAGTAACAATTGGCATTAAAATTCATACAAACAAACCACAGAATGAGAAACAGCTACTTACTTAATGGAAAAAGACTCTCCAGTCATTTTGCCTGAAATGGGGTCCAAAAATGCAAGTTTCAAGCAGCATAGTGTAGGTGGTCCAACCTCATACTTGATTCCTACAATCTTAACAAATTCTTGCTCCTATTTGTGGAAAAACCAATACATTACTTGTCTGTAAATGACTGCCTTTTATTAATAGATTTCATTTCTACCTGAATAACTTAAGAATTAACTGAATACTTAAGTGTTATTTAGTATCTACAATAGCAGCAGTATAGATCCTGAATGTCTATCATTTTTACTTAAAGATACTTTACTTCATTTTTCATTATAATCTAATTATACCAGTTTCCCCCTTCTTCTTCCCTCAGCCCCTCTCAAGTCCCTCCCACTCTAAAACTGCTGGCCTCTTTCTTTATTAATGTTATATATAAACAAATATATACATATATACATACAAATATAACACTATAACTTGTTGAATCAAAAACATCATGTGAATATTCATTAAATGATAGGAACTACATTAAGTTAAAGGTAGTCACTTGAATGTTAACAGTAAGGCCAGTGAAAAGACAAGATATCATTTAACTCCCACATGCATACCGTAGCAGATGAATATCTGCACAAACATGCACATGCATATGGTACCCCATACAAATATAACAAAAACAGATGGGCAGTGGTATCCCATGCCTTTGATCCCAGAACTCAGGAGGCAGAGGTAGGCGAATCTCTGCTAGTTCGAGGCCAGCCTGGTCTACAGAGCAAGTTCCAGGACAGCCAGGGAAACCTTGTCTTGAAACAAAAACAAAAAACAATACTAAACAGACTGATGTTTAAGAAAGGGCTATGAAGAAGCCTAACTAGCAAAATCTTTCAGGAAGTTTTCTAGAATTTATGAACTGAAGTAATACCCTTAGTTCTATAGGTCATGGGTACACATCAGTCAGATATTCTTAAAAAGCAAACTCCTGACATTTCTAGGAGATGCTCACAATGTCCCCTGTTCCTCTGGCTCTTAGAATCTTTCCATCCCCCTCTTTCTCAATGACTCCAGAGCCTCGGAGCAAGAATCGTGTTGTAGATGTATCATTTGGGACTAAGTTCCTCAACTTTGCATTTTAGACAACAATAGAAATGTTAACTTGGAAAGGGGAAAGTTAAACCCTGGAAAAGAACTACAGGCAATGCCTGAATGCCAAGAGTGGGAGAGACAGTCTTTTCCAGGGAAGAGCACACCAATTATATGCACAAAATATACCTCCCTGAAACATACACATATAAGTAACATACAAACAGAGCAAATTTTATTTACAAGCACACACACACACACACATTCACAGCAATTAAACAAAAAGGGGTCATGAATTTGAACGAGAGTAAGGGGGTACATAGCAGGGTTTGACAGGGAGAGAACAGGAAATGGTGTAATTATATTATAAACTCAAAATATTAAAAAAAAATCAAACTTCTCAATGTCTAGTTTAAAAAAAAATCACTTACCCTATTAGCAAAATTAGTAAATAAGCATGCAGATTTATATATACATGTGATTGAAAGGACAGACTTTTTGAGACAAAGTATTGTGTCACAATCTTACAGTTTACTACTGATCACATTTAAGAAGTAAAATCCACAAAAAAAAAAAAAAAAAAAACCCAAAACCCCCCACAATCTTCCTGGATACAGTAACTTGCTTAAAGTTATAATCAACATATAGAAGACAGTAACTTGCTTAAAGTTATAATCAACATATAGAAGAGCTAGGGCTGAAATTCAGGTTTCACTCCAACCTCATATGTCATATACATACTACCACTGAATAATTTTCTAGAACCATGGAGCTGTGATTAGAAATAAGACATTATAAATCCTATCCATTCCCTCAGTCCTGAAAGAGTACTCAATTCTCATTGATTCTAAACAGATGAACAGGCAGTAAAGAAGAAAATACGAAGATGACTTGATAAGGTATTTTAACACCTTAAAACAATAATGTTTTATCTACAAATGTCTAAATGTCTACTTGATGTCTAAATGTCTACTTGAATATCCAGATTTTTCTCTTTCATCTTAAGATAAACAAATAACTCTTCAGTTTCAGTAAATCTGCCCTTTGTTTTTCAGGGGGAAAAAAGAAGCAAAACTCAAATAGAAATACATACTTATGCCTGCCTGTACATATTTTATGTATGAGAAGGAATAAATTCATATTAACTGACATAAAATTTGTCAACAGAAATAGCCATATCTATTTTACTTGATTTTTTAAAGCATTGTGGGTATTACATCAAAAGAGATGATCCCAAAGAATACAATTCTCTAAGCTTCTTTTTCTTTATGATATTTAACCTATATCAAAACTAGCAGAACCTTGAGAATGCCTGTAGTACACACAGTTTACCCAAATATGTACACAATTGTTTAGGGAAAATATTCAAACTAGAGAATGTCTACTTTTCTGTAGTTGAGGAATGGTAAAAACACAAGGACCTGAAGCTTACAGAAAAGTAGGGCTAATAAGATAACACATAGCCTAAAAATTGTTTAAAGGTTTATTTTATGTGTATGACTGTTTTGTTTGCAAGTATGTACGTGTACCATGTGAGTGCCTGCTGCTTATAGAGGACAGAAGAGAACATCAGATCCCCTAGAACTGTAGTTACTAATGGTTATGAACCATCATGTGGGTGCTGGGAACTGAATTCAGGTCCTCAGCAAAAGCTCTCTGCCACTGTGCCATCTCTCTAGCCTCATAAAAATTTTAAATATTGTTACAATGTGTTTATTTTGATACTGAGTTTCACACAATAGCCTCCTCGGCTGGTTTGGAATTCACCATGTAGTATATGCTGGCTTCATTTACCAGCAATTTCCCTTCAGCTTCCAAATAACTGGGATTATAAGTATGAATCACCATAGCCTAACATACAAATTTTAAGAAATATACATTATCCATTCTATAAAATACCATGCATCAATTAATTTTGGAAATACACTACCACCCAAACCACACTACGAAACCAGGAAAATAGAAGCCTAAGGGAACTTTATCACCAAACTCTTTTGATTGTATTCATGTCCATTGGGAAAACTCACCCTGAGATCCATTTTGTTCCATGGCTGTTTTTGTAAATTAACACTATATATTTTTGATTTCCTCACAGCTCTCACATAAGCTTCATGTCCTTGCCTAAAATAAATAAGCTGAAAAAGAAAACAATGTATTATATACACTCATATTTATTTTAACCCTGCAGTTCCCCCATGCATATTGTCTAAACATCTTCCCCCATTTACATAAAATAATTTCAATTTTAAAACTTTTCCTGATCATATGATATTCATTCAGCACTTGTGTCTACCTAATCCCATGGCAAGCTTCACATTGCATAAATAATATATACAGTCTTTTGCTCCCAAGCAGCTGCAAGAGTCAGCTGAAGAAAAGAGAAGGGAGAGGAAAGGGCAATAGAATACTTGTGACATTAAAGTGGAAGGGTACAAAGGAGAGCCGGGGCAGGAAGATGTAGGTGATGAAGAGTGAGGGAATCAACCATAACAAAGTATTCATGAAAGTGCCACCAGGAAAACTATTACATTCAACAATAGTTTAATTGTAGATATCTAGAATGCTACTTATAAGCTTAGACAATTCTTTGAAATGCAACCAGTTTTGTGTACACCTATGGTGATATTTTTTTTCTTCAGTGTGAAGCCACCTGGGAAAATGACTGCAAACAAAATTTAAATGAAGCAATTTTTAGGACAAATTGAAAGTGTTCTGTTGCAAGAGTTCACATCAGCACTAGCTGAGCACAGAAGAAAATGAATTTAAGTGTTTGGTAAGAAATGCCAATTTCTTCAAAGATAATATTTACTACTATTTTCTACATTTCTTGAGGAAAGTTTCTTTTCCTCAGTGGGTCCAGAGTGTTGACAGATATAAACAAATAGAATAAGGTAACAAAAATAACATATAATGAGAGTCTAAACAACACAATGAAATATGAGCAAGATAACCCTCCTCCTCTATCCCAAAGAATTTAATTTCCCATCTTTAGCTGAGCCCTGTAGACCAGTTCTCAAACACGAGAGATGCTATGAATTTTGAAAGTTCTATACCAGTATCATGTGATTCTGACATCTAATTATATGTAAATTTGGGCACCTTGCTTACCTTTCTAATCCTATCACCTCATCTGAAAATGGACACACTATGATATGACTCAAATACTGCATACCATATAGCATTGGCCAAACTTTAGTAACAGCTTATTCTTCCTACTTGTTCTTATGTAAACGACTATGCTTCACACACAATACACTAAACAATCATCATAGCATTCCTGTAAGACAGAACTACTACTCAGTTTAGCTTTAGAAATACATGCATTGAGGTTTATGGAAAAGACAAAAATGTATGTCCCAACCCCAAATGCTATCAAGTGAGCACAAAAGTGAAGCATCGGACTGTGAACACAGCATTGTGATTAATTCAGGTATGTTGCTAACATTACTATCTGAGAATAAAGAAACCCTAGGTTCCCTTTAGGCCCCTTGGTCTTGCTGCCACAGTGGCTGCACTTAATACGGCAAGTTCTTCCCTTCTCCTTGTCAATAATGAAATGTTCCTGAGTTTTCAGTTCTCCGTTCTCTAATGGAGGGGTTGGTTTTGCATTGAACATACACATAAACACACATATGTGACTGTGACCTTATTTGGAAACATTGTATTTGTAGAAACAACCAATTTAAGAGTACTTGAGCTCATAGCAGGAGTATATACACACTAAAAGCCTGTCCAGATAAGAAGGTAGAAAGTGGGATGCAGAGAGATCCTTGGAGGGAAGATTGCCATATGAAGGTAGGAGAGAAATGGACATAATGTTGGGGAACACCAAGGATTCTGAGAACCCCCAAAAGCTATGGGAAGTGGGGAAGAATTTGGCCTTAAAAGATTTGGGAGAGAGGACACAGTTCTGCCAATGCCACATTGTAATATTTTTACATTTCAAAATGGTTTGAGAGAATAAATTCCTATTATATGAAGCCAAAAATGTATGTACATACTCTTCAAATAAAAAAAACCTACATAGAGAGCCAGATGGGAGCAGCCCACGCCTTTAATCCCAGCACTCAGGAGGCAGAGGCAGATAGATCTCTGTGAGTTAATGGTCAGCCTGGTCTACAGAGAGTGCCAGTTCCAGAACACTCAGGGTTACACAGAGAAACCATGTCTGGAAAAAAGAAACAAAAAGGCATAAAACCAAACCAAAACAACCCTACAATTATTATATATTTATTTTAATATTCAACATTGACAAAATAAGCACAAGGTACTAGATACTATCATAAGGTATTAAAATGTAATATTTTCCTATAAGGAAAAGTAGTATAACACTCTCTCTCTCTCTCTCTCTCTCTCTCTCTCCATGTAGGTATGATATCTCATTTAGAAACAAGTATAGGTAAACCCAAACTTGGCATTTGAGTTAGACCTTTAAGAAGGAGCATTTTGAAGAGAAATCATTTATCAGTAGGCTTATTCTAAGCAAAATAACAAGGGCTTAATAGCTAGACTAAGCAGTAAGTAGCGCTGTAATTAAGAAACTGATTACATGAACAGTACATTTATGACTTTATGAGCTCTTTAAAAACCATTCTCAAATAGCTACTCAACTGTTGGATTCACTGCAATACTTTCTCCATTCCCCCAAAGAATTGTCATAGCCTAATATATAATCTTGAATAAAGCATAAGGAAAGTGATTCCATCAGGGAATGAACTGACAGAAGTAGTCATCAAGTGTAGAGAAGGGTCTCATCCGGCTTTAAAAGAACACAGAAGCTTATTTTGTTCTGTGAAGTCCTCTAAAATTAATCCAACTTCACCACAGACCTCCTAAGACTCAAAATAGCCATTAAATATAATTATGATTTCAGATATATCAAAAATTTTAAGGCTTTTTAATTTTTTATAATACAGCATTAATCATCAGAAGCTTATGGGCATAGTAATATATGTAAACAAGCAATAACCAAAAGTCCAATATATCTAAAAGAAACATTTTTAATAATCTCTATACAAAATAAGCAAAGGATAGCTTATTCATAGTGTTATTGATAGGTATCTCTACTAAAAGATCTCTTTAAGAGAAAATTGGGCCAAATTTGTATTTGGTCTCATTTAAAACCTATTTAATTGTCTTTTTTCTGTCTTTTATTGAAATGACAATTTCATATTTCTATTATTAATTCTGAATTCAAAATGGTGTGTAGTGGTTGAGATTACAATATAATGATACAACTGTCTAGAATGTATCAACCCTGGGTTCAGTCCCCAGCACATACACAAGAAAGGTTCAAATATTTGGTCAATCAATATATCAGACAAAACAGATATTTCAAGGTAACCGTACTTTCACTGAGATGCTGAAAGTTTCAACTGGGTAATATTTTCCTAGATTTTTTATGCCTAATTATAAATGTGTATTTACATTTATTCAATCACAGATCCAGTAACTATCTTTTAGCACAGGTATCCAAGCTTTTGACCTTGGAATGTAATATATACAAATGTGTTGGATCGCTTTCATAAGTATTCTTGGTTGGACATACCTGCTTTAGCATATTTTATCAGGCTCAATTTTTTAAACAAATTAGTTATTGAGTGAGGACTCAAAAGTACCACTCAATTCAACAAAGTTACAATTAAAAATCAAGTGTTTCCATAAATTTAGAAATCATAAATAAACTTAACTTTGTTAACTTAGCATCTCTTATGTTGACTATATTATAAAAGACATATACAAAAATGCAAAATTAATTATATTGAGTCACATTCTTCAAGAAATACTCAATTGAGCAAAGAAACAAGATAGTGTATATTTAACCACAACAAAAGTTAACAGTATGAATTTTCTGGAGCTGGCAAAATGGTTCAGTCATTAAAATCACTTGTTGTACAAGTTGTGTGATTGGAGTTTAATTCCTGGGATCCATGTAAAAAAGAAGAAATGATTCCATAGAGCTGTCCTCTGACCTCCAATTGTGATCTGCAGCATATGTGCTCCCCTCAAGTATGCACAAATACTCAAAACCACTTCAGATACCAAGATTGAATAATGCTAATTGTTCTTTTGTTTGTTGTTTGTTTTGATTTCTTGAAACGGCATTTTTTGTGTATGTAACAGTCCTGAGTCCTGACTGTCCGGTAACTAGCTCTGTGGACCAGGCTGGCCTCAAACTCAGAGATACACGTGCCTCTCTGCCTCCCTAGTACTCGGATTAAAGGCAAGCACCACCACTGCCTGGCAATGTTAACTGTTTCTTTCTTTTAAAAGGGGAAATTTCTGTTATTGTTGGTTTATTTTACTTTATGTGCCTGCATGATTGTGTACCATGTGCATGTCTGGTGCCCAAAAACACCAGAAGAGGGCAATTGATTCTTTGGAACTGGAGTCACAAACAGTTGTGACCTGCTATGTGGATTCTGGGAATCAAACCTAGGCCTTCTGAAAAAACAGTCTGCTATTTAACTGCGGAGCCATCTCTCAAGCTCAATACTGTCCTTGAAGCAAAGGGGTTTTTATTGGGCAATGAGTACCTCATCTCCCATCTGTGGGACAAATGGAGAACGCCGTGGTATGGTATCCAAGATCCATTGAGGGGCAAACCATTCTTCATTGGGTTCGCCTGCCATAGAAACAAGTCCCCCTTTCTAAAAACAAAACAAAGAAAAAATGACAGTATTTATATCAATAATTCAGAAGTGTAAACTCATAAATAGTAATATGAAAAGGTAAGAAAATTATTTAAAATATCATGTTTAATGCATAGTAAAATACATAATTTTAAATATATACTATAGGAACTACATATTTTATAGCAAAAAAAATCAAGTAGTTCATTTTTGGATTGTAGATAATAGCTTGACACTAAATTAGCATCTAAAATTAGCACATTTTTCTCTTCATGTATCTAGACAATATCAGTTCAAAAATAGTAACACAATAGTGTCTATTATGAATATAAGAGGGATAAGATGCTACAGTTCCATAATCCCAGATATAATTAGCAAATTGTGACAGGAGAATTTTAAGTTCAAGGACAGCCTGGCCAACTTGAGATTATTCTATCCTATGATATAGGCATGTATATAGGGATACAAATTTATAATTGTGTATGACAAGAATAATTATTGTACAATATAATGGCTTATTATAGAACTTTGCAACATTTTAACTAGCAATTGTCACTATTCTAGGTTAATAACATATAATGGTGTCATTAAACTGCTAGCTTTGATAACAAGAAATTAAAATTCCAAGTCTATTAAAATTATATTTAATTGGCTTTATTAAATTATTAAATATTCAAATATTTGAGGCAAAAAAGAAAAGCAAGGCAAAAATAAACAATTTATAAGTTACAAACCTTCTTTCTAGTCTGTTTAGGTTTCTTCTGCCTATCTTCTAATGACTTCAAATTTTCATCTTCAGAGCTGCTGTATATTTTCTGTGTTGCCTGTCTAGTTTGTCTTTTAGGAGGCTGCAAATTTATGCCAGCATCTGCTGTCCAATCAGAATATTCACTTGATGAATCACTGTAAATAAGTGAAAGTTATAATGGAAAAGTGATCATTTTGTTATCAAAAATCACTTAAATAACAAGGACTGAAAAAAATAATACAGGATTTTGATCACTATTTGAATTCAATGAAATGTTTCTTGAACAAAGATACTTAATTTATTATAACAGGATTTAAAATCCTTGTTGGAAACACAAAACTGCCTAAAAATAAACATGAATCATATGGCTAAAATGATGAAAGAGATAAATTTAAAACTGAAATGAAAGCTCCATGCCTTTAATCCCAGAGGCATCTTGGTCTACAGGCCATCTTGATCTACATAGTGAGTTCTAGGACAGCCAGAGTTACATAATAATACTCTATCTGAAAAGACCAAAACTTGATATAATTATATAAAGTTTCAAAGAAGTACAATCATAAATTTAACAAGAAGCTTATTTTACAGATAAAGGAAACAAAACCTCTACAATTGTATCCACAGAATGTACGGAGTTATGAGGAAATAAATTGTACATAGGCTTCAAACTCAAAACATTTTCTATTACATCATACTATTTTATTGATGGTCTTAAATTCCTACAAAACCATAATTTCATATCAAATGTTGAAAAACCTGGGGTCAATTAAAACTACCTGGAAGAACTTTCACTTTGCCACTCAATAACAGGGTCTTCTACAGAAGCATCACTTGTGCCAACAGTTTCATCTTCCTATAGGAAAAAGACAGCAATTCAGAGATATGATTAGTATTAGCTACTGCAACATACAAAAATGCCATCTAACTTATAACTTTATTACTTCATCAAACATTCCAGTTAAAATGTGCATAATTATTTTTCTACATAGATCTCAAATTTAAAAACAAACTACTAGGTATTTTACATGGTCTGCGATTATACTGTTTATTGATATAAATCATTTTATTTCTTTAGAAAAACTGTTTACACTTCAAAATACTTATTTATAGCCTTCTTAAATGCTGAAAGATGGATGGTTTTAAAAATATTGTACGTGAGTAATTCTTTTCAGGTCAAGATATTCATGGAGAAAAAGGGAAATAATATTTTAAGAACAGTGAAGAACACAAAAAAGTACTATATAATGTCAATATGCAATAAAACTCTCATTATGCACCTAAAAGAATAGAACTGTTAAAAGAACAATGGGCTTGGGAACAGAAGAACAAGAAGAGAAGAATTGCTATACTTTGTTCATTGTCATGATGAAGATAGGTCTGAGATAAATCAACACTCAGTGACCTCCAAAATAGGTAGTCAGCAATAAAATAAAACAAAATAAAATAGATATACAAGCCAATTACAGATTGAATCAGTCCTGGGACTATCTGCCTTATTTCTATTATTTATGTTTCATTTTTCCCCATTTCTAGAATGATATCCTTTTGCTATGTCATGTCACTGTCACAAAGACAAACTTTTGCTCTTGTCAAGATGGTATCTTAGGTAGAAATCATGAAAGACAACCAAAATGGCTAAATCTAAATGGGATACCCAAACTTGTATAAGTGCCTTATTAATGAGTAAAGGTCTTCATCTTCTATCCATGTGATTTTCAAAAGTAAATATGAATGAATTGGACAAAGGAGAAAACAACAAAGAAAGTTACACTGGATAAATTATAACAGCTCTAACCTCTGAGGAGCTGTCTGAATCTTCCTGTACACCTGAATTTTGAGATGATGCCTGTGAATTATGCTCTATGTTGGACCGTGTTAGATAAGTATGCTGACGCTTGCGCTGGGTCCTCCTTAAAGACCGTCCACAGCTGGGCTGATAGTCATTCTAAAAAGAGAAGGAAAACATTATTTTAAAAGAAAGCATAATATACAACTGAACAGTGAATAGCTAGGTTGCAGGAATTTTCCCATTTAGTATTTAAACATGACACATTATTCACAATTATCATAGGAGGATTAAACATCCATATCATATTTAATGTAACTCTTAAATGTACTTTCATTTCTTTACAAGAAAGTCTGTTAATGCATTAACATGACAAATTAGACTTAATCATTTATTGTCCTTTCATTCCAGATTAGTATTTTTAAGAGTCTGAGGGTTTATTAAAGATCTTTAGAATCAATTTAACACTGCTTTATATGGTTGTCCACTCTTGTAATCCCAGCACTTGGGAAACCAAAGCACAAGGACTACAATATGTTCAAGGCCACCGAGGGCTAAGGAGTGACACCCTGACTCAAAAAAATACCAAAATTACCTGCATTTATTTTACATTTTATTTATATGGGTGTTTTTCATCCATGCATGTTTACACATCATATGCATGCTTTGTGCCAATGGAGGCCAGAAAAGAGCATTAGTTCCCCTACAATTGGAGTTACAGATTGTGAGCCACCTGGCATGGGCACAAGGAATCGAACTTGCGCACAATATAAGAGCAACCAATGTTCTTTTTGAGCCATCTCTCTGGCCCCAGAAAAATAATTTTAAGAATATATTTAACACATCTTTCTTGTAGAAAAATACCAGGAGAGAATCAATAGACATAAAATAAACTTTAGGTTATATAAGAATAGAAGGTGACAGACTCAAAGTAATTCACATACAAAAAGTAATATTCAAATCAGATATTGTGGAACATACTTATAATCCCAAAACCTGCGAGTGGAGGGTAGAGTTAGAAGAAGATGTGTTCCCGAGTCCAAGGTCATCTTCAACTACATATAGTACTCAAGGCAAACCTGGGCTATATGATACACATTCTCAAAAACAGTAACAACAAAAACAGTACAATTCCAGCCAGTGGAAGAGCCCTGCATCATATGCTGTCATCTTTAACCTTGAGCACGGGTCTGCAGTAAGGTCAGCAAACTATTTGGAGAGGGTCAGAATGTCTGGCTTTCTAGGTCAGATAATTTCTATTCTAACTATTCAACTCTGTCTTTATATGCCATATACAACAACTAAAGTCAAGCTATAATTCGTCTGTGGCTGTGCTTCAATAAAATATAATTAACTAAAATAAACAAGATTTCATAGATGAGCTTGTCAACCTCTCGTCTAATGGATCTAGAATTTGTTTTACATTGTGACTAATGATCAATAGTTACAGTTGTACTTAACCATATGAAAATAATATTTTTATACATATACAATAAAAGATAAGTTTTAATTTTTCTGTTAATAACCATGCACGTGTATGTATGTGTGTATGTGTGTATATGAATCTGAGGTTTAAAAATTAGGATCCCTTTAAGCAGATACCAACTTAAATATCTTCTTGATAGATAAGTGTTTCCTTTCAAATAACTTATTTGCAAACATTAGATTCCAAAGCACTGAAAAAGAAAACTTACTCTTTGGATAGGATAAGATGGCTTTTTCTTCTTTTCAACAGAATAAAGACTAATTTCTAGGTCACCTTTTGCATTTCGACATTCTTCTTGCACCCTAATAAAATATTGCAAGTCAAAATAACAAAATGAATCCAACAGTTTAAACATCAAATCTGAAAACTAAACAATTTAAAAATATAAAATTTATCTTTGTAATCTTTTTAGCTATATATCTCAGTGGCAATGTTCTGCAGTCACCAACACTACCCAGTCCCATTAGTTTTCCATCATTCCCAAGATAAACTGTGACCATTAAGCAGTTACGTCTCATTTCTCCATTCCTATAGGCTCTGAAAACTTGATACTTGCTATAATGCCCATGAATTTGCCTGCTATAAGTACTGTATGTTAAGTGGAGTTATTTGTCTATTTGTGTTTGTCTTCTTTCACCTGGCAAGATAGTTTCAAATTCCATTCATGTTTCAGCAGTTATCAGAATGGCTTTTTTTGTGGACTAATAAAATACCATGGTGTGACTTTATCATATTTGTTTTTCTATTTATTTACTGATTGACATTTGATTTGTTTCCACCACTTGATCACTTGAATAACTTTCCAATGAATATTAGTGTGCTTTATCATTTACTTTTACGTAGGGAATTCTTCTAATTTTTCTCTATTGCACCAGTTGCAACTCATAAAATTAGCTGTCTTTTTTTTTTCTTGATTTCTACTTATACCAGAAAGCAGAGGGGAAACATGGAAATTAAACATATTTTGGTACTTTTGGGTTATCTGTTAAAAATACTTGGTTAGGTGGTATGATTAAGATGAATTTTATATGTTCTCTCTAGTAGTTCATATATAAAATACATACATAATATGTATATATATCCTATTTCCAGTTGTAATTAATTAAATAGTTGGTATTATAATAAAAGGTAATTTTACAAGAATGGTGATTCTAGATTTGAAATTATGCCAATGAAATACTTTCGCCAATGAAGACTATTTAAATGACATTTTTAAGCACATCTACACAGCATACTCATACTTCCACAATACTTCGCTGATGACCTTTCCTTGGAGCCACTGTTTACTACACAGTCAATATGCCACTCATGTTAACATATAATCTATTATGAGATGATAACCAGACACATTGGCACTAATGCATCATCACATTTTCAGTATTTCTCAAAGCATTTATCAAAAGCTGAGCATATTTACATTTGTTACAAAATTAACTATTTAGAATTAGTTAATATGGAAGATCTAATATATGACCAACTTTATTAGAATATTTCAGTTACTAGGCTAACTTAAAATAATTCACTTATAAATATACAGTTTGAATTTTCTTATGGAGGTTACCATATCAACTTAGGTTACCATATCAACTTACCTACTAACTCCATTATTTAGTTCATTTACCACCACTCTTCTGCTCCAGGCCATGAGATCTCGTTCAGTGGCCATCTGGCTCCTAGGAGCATTGTTATGCATTTGCCGAACACCTTCAATTTGACCACTACGTCGAAGCCCAATATTTGGGGAAGACGGTATGTCCATATTTGGACTACTCAAAGCTAAATAAACCAAAAGCAAGGAAAAACACAATTTTCTAAACAACAATACCAGTGTTGGCAATTAGAGGTTGAAATAAAGCAACAGTTTCAAAGACATGGTGTTTGGGGCTGCCCTACGATGTACAAGGCCCTAGATTTGATCCCTAGCACCAAAAATCAGAGAGGAGGGGGGAAAATGAAAGAGACTTCTGGAAATATGAAAATAACTGTTAATCATGCTCTACACTTTTCTGTGCCATCTTCATGTTTCTGTACTGATATAAATAAAAGAAATACTCAATAAATGTTGAAATTTGGTATAGTTCTTTTCATTTATTCAAAGCACTGTTTATCAGAAATCTACTACATACAAAATACAGTGTTCGGATAGGATTTGAAAGATTCATGTATGTGTTAAAAATTGTTCATGTTTCATCTTTAAAATCTAAGTTCTACCCATCTTTGTTTACTTAATTAGGCTATTTCTCAGAAAACTAAGTGTAGAGATGCACCTCTGTAATTCTAACTCTTAGGAGACTGAGCTAGATTATGAGTTGTAGGCTACCCTAGGCTACAGAATATAATCATTGCTAAAAATAATGCTGCAAGTAAAACAAAAAACTTTCAAAACAAACACATTGAAAATACAAGCAGGCTGTGGGGAGATAGCCAAGTTAGGAAAGAGCTTGTCATGTAGGCAAGGGGTATAGGCCTATAAATTCTGGTCCTTGGGAGAGTAAGATATAATGGCTCCAACTTCAAGGCCACTGTGGACAATGTAACAATACTTAATCACAAAAATATAGTTCAGTGGTGAATTTCCTACATAAGAAAGACATTGAATTCAATCCCTAGCACTAAGGAAAAAAAATACCTTGATGGACTGAGGTGGATCACACCTTTAATCCCAGCACTTGGGAGGCAGAGGCAGAGAGATCTCTGTGAGTTCAAGGTCGGTTTGGTCTATCTACAAAGTGAGTTCTGGGACAGGCAGAGCTATATAGAGAAACTATGTCCTTTTAAATTAAAATTCAAATTTCTTGAAAAATTAAAATTTAAACATTTCAATATATAGACACAGTACTCTCAGGCACAAAGGCACATTTCATGGTATGTGAAGGAAGATGTACAATAAATGATAGTCATGTTGGAGGGAGCAAGATGGATCAGCAGGTAAAGGTGCTTGTTCTCACTCCTGATGATCTGAATTCTAGCCCATGGAAACACACATATACACATATAAACACACATGGACAGTAAAATGAGAAAAAATTTTAGAGAATAATCATTGCTAAAAAGTAATTAATTATATAATAGCTTCTATTGGTATTAAGACTTAGCTGCTGTATAAATCTAGTTAGGAGTCTATCTGCACTCCCTAAGAGATGGCCAGACTGTTTTCTACTAGCCTATTTCATTCATTCAAAATCATAGGGTTAGATATGCTATTTTCCTTTCAACAAGAAGGGCCAATCACTGGAATGGCACTTTCTAAACTTAACGTAGTTGAAGTTTAAAAACTTCATAGGTTGGTTTCCTAACAAAAGGGCCAGACTTATTCCAACACTTCATTTCTAGAAACAAAAGGACAGATTTCAAATGAACTGAGTCAGGAGGACTATTATAATTAAATACACTACCTATATTTGTTAGAAGCTAAATCATTTTAGTTATAAATGATAACAATGAGATAGATCATGCTACTTCAGAACACCTGATATTAGAAGCTATAAATTAATAAAAATGCTTTCGCATTACTCATGGTATAAGTGAAATATGATTTTATACTTTCCACAAATATACAACTACTTACCACCATTAACAGAATATGATCTATTAATTGGAAAATTTGGAACATCTCCTTCATTAATTAATCTGAGATCTTGTTCTCTCTGTAACTCTCTGATTATTCCATCAAGAATGCTTTCTTCTTGGTCATTGGTTTGCTGCCCAATTACCTGTTCTACCACTTCACCGTCACCTTAATGTGATCAAAGAGAGAAAGTCAGATAAATTCATTATGTTTTAGTATACTTTAATATGATAAAAAGTGAGCTTATCTTGTGGGAGAAGTAATTAGAAATAATTTAAGATGGAAAATAAATTATACATGAAACAATATTTTATGGGAATTTTTAAAAATATAGTTAATGATTCAGCATTTGTACTTGATTTAACCAATAGTCTTAAATTGGACATTGTTATCAAGGCATTTTAAAGAATAATTATAATGTTAAAGTTAAATAATCCTGGCTAGAGAAATGGCTCAGTGGTTAAGGGAATTGGCGGCGTTCAATTTCCAGCACCCAAATGGCAGTTTACAACTGTCTGTATTTCCTATTTCAGGAGATTCAACATCTTCATACAGACATGCATGCAGGCAAAACACCAGTGTATAGAAAATAAAAATAAATAATAAAGCGAAATAATCCATTTTAAAACGTGTTTTCTAAAGATTAAAAAAAAAATCAAGAATTAGAGATCTGAGTAAGGTTTTTTTTTTTTTTTTTTTTGCACATTGGGTCCTTTTTACACTGTAATTCAGTTTGCCCTGGAACTCACTATATAGTCTTGAATGGCCTTGAGCTCATGGCAATCTTTCTGCCTTGGCCTTCTGAGTACTGGGATAACAGGTGTGAGCTACCATGCCTGGCCCAAGTCATTTATAAACAAGCTTAGTCACAGCTACTAGAATATTGCCTACCTTTCTTTTATGAAAATTTCATTATGAAAACAGTTAGAAATACGGTCTTTTAAATAAGTATTCCTATTTACAATAGAAAATTGCTTTTATGATAAACTCAAAATCAATGTTTATTTCTGAGTGAAAATTTTAACTTTTATCTTTCTTAATGTATCATGACCTGTTTTTCACCTTGCCCTGTATCTATCAAATGCTATTTGATAGAGAAATGAAGTAATTAGTTCTTGTAAAAAAATAAATATGCTACATTAAGTTTGTATTTAGATAGTTTCAGTCTAACATTATATTTATTATTCACATTTTTTCTCTTGGTTAATATTAAATTATCAGAGTAACCAAATACTAGCACATTACTCTATAAATTTTTATTTCATTTTAAATTATGAAGGACAATTCAAGCATCAACTTCCTAGCAAAGAAAGAAAATGCAGAAGCCAGGTGTAGTGGTCCATGCCTGAAATCCCAACACTAAGAAGGCTAAGTAAGACAGGAGAAATTTGAATTTTGAACCAACCATGGGATACACATAGTGAGTTACTCTTTTAAAACAAAATATTAAGAAAGAAAAGAAATTCTATTTGCAAACCTGTAATTTACTTTTCTATTAGTAAATAAAAATTATTAATTACCAAACAAGTGCAAAGGCATTCTATGGAAGATGAAGTAGAAAAGACAGTATACACTGTCTGAAATATCTATCTAAAGAAACACACTCTTCTTTTTTTGGGTTCATTAACTGACTTTCAAAATAAACTACCCAAGTATAATCAATATAATTTTTTTTTACCAATTAAGCTTAATATAGTAAAGTTAGTAAGTTTAATCATTACCAGAAGTCACTACACAGAACAAGGTCATACATATGGTAATAGTTTCCCCTGTGGTAGGTCAACAAATTACCTCTTGGGCATGTTACTGTTTGTCCTAAACCAGTTACTTTTGCACAGCAGAGCTACCAACAGATGATGAAAATCTACTCTGATAAACTGAAACATACAATTAAGATCTTAATAAAAATAGTATATAATTCATGTCATAACCTACTTCAGAAATTAGTAAGAAACATATATATCTGCAACATTTTAAATTTGCTTCAGGAGATAGCATACCATTAGCCACATATCCCAACTGTGGAATAAGCTGTTCATCTTTACAATTTTCCCGTCCTGGTACCAGCCGTTGAAATTTTGTAGGATGGGGATTTCCATCGACATCCACCAAGAACGGGGGAGGCATGAGGTGAGGTGCTTGCTGAGTTTGCTCATCCAATACATAATTATTTGCATCTCTGATAAGTGGTCGATAATCAGTGTGGAAGAACATCTGATCTGGAATCTTTGTGACAGACAGATATTTAGTGTTTACCATACCAGAGAATGTATAGTCCGGGCCCCTATTTTCATCCCTACAGCACATAAACACAGTGTTTATATTCTCTCATGGTTCTGTGTTGTCATATGTCCCTCTGGGAGAAACAAATAACCTAGATAATTGTTTTCTTATCCATAAAATTCTATGATTTGCATTATTTTAGGAACCTTTTAATATATTTCCTTAATCAGGATAAGAAATATGGTAACAGTCTATCATAAGTTGTATATTTTGATTTAACTTATAACAAGCACACAAACCTATAACTTGAGTTCTTATTTTTATTCAAGCAAGAATAAATGAAGCATGATAAGCATGATGAGAGCAATGAACATCAAACAAATCAACACTACTAAAAGCTATTAAGCTAGGCTACTTGATGGCGATGTCTCTTCCCACTATAAAATTCCAATCTCCCTAGATTCATAGTTTATAAAACACAAAGAAAAGTTGGGTGTGGTGCAGCACTTGGGAGATAGAAGAGGGTCGCAGTAAGTTTGATGCCAGCTTTTTAGCAGAAAAACTAAAAGATGTGGATGGAGGATTACACATATGAAGTAACAAAATTTGACAAAAACAAGATAAACTATTTAAAGAGATGCATAACAGGCAACAAGTTTGAAAACAATCATAAAAACCTCCCACCTTAAAAAGAAACCAGAAAAAATTCCTGAATTCTACCAGCCCACCAAGGAAGGATTAACATCAATGCTTCTCAAGTAATTACAGAAAAAGGAAAGAATGCTACTGAACTCTGTTTACAAAGCCACCAGATAAAGATAAAACAAAATTATACACTAGTATCCCCAATGAACACAGAAGCAAAAATAGGATATTTGCAAACCAAATTCATGTTACTCAGCACGACCAAGCTAGCTTTAATTCAGAAGAGATGATTCAACATACATACATCAATAAATCTATCACATAAATAGACTAAAGGATAGAAACCATATGATCATCTCATTTCATTCTGAAAGGATTCCGAAAAATTCCAGTATGACAAAAGTACTAAAGAATCAAAGAAGCAACATGTCTTGGGGGCTGAACAAACAGAACAGCAGTAAAGAGTTTACACTCCTCTTCAGGAGGACCCAAGTCCATTTCCTGGTGCATATAGACAGTTCACAACTGCCAGCAACTTCAGCTCCAGGGAGATCCAATGCCAGCTTCTATCCTCCACAGGCACTGTACTCGTGACCACACCCACACAGACACGCAAATAAACACAATAAAAATAAATCCTTTTCAAGAAGAAGTACGGGCTGGACAGGTGGCTCAGCAGTTCAGAGCATTGGTTGTTCTATCAGAGGACTTGAGTTCAGTCCCTAGTACCCACATGATGACACACAACCATTTATAACTTCAGTTTTGGGGGAACTTTTTCTGGTCTCCATTGGCATGCATGTGATGTACAAACATACATACATATAAAGTTCCCATACACACAAAATATATGAATAAATTTCAAAAAGTATAACACATAAACTTAATAAAAGAAAAATGTGAAGCTTATAGCCATATAAGGTAAAATAGGTAAATAGGTAAATAGCTAAATAGGTAAAACTCAAAAGTATTTTCAGCAAGATTCTGAATAATCAGGCCTATTTTCTTCACTTTCATTCAATACAGTGCCTGAAGTCTTAGACGATTAAGACACGAAACAGCTATAAAGGTGAAACAAACAGAAAATGAAAAAAAAAATCAAAGTCTCTTTATTTTCAGATAATAAAACTACATACACAAGAAGCTCTAAAGACTTTTATTAGCCACATGGGGCTAATAAAAGAGATGGCTCAGCAGTTAATAGCACCTGTTTGCAGAGGACTGAATTCAAGTCCTAACTTCCACATGTTGGCTCACAACCATCTGTAACTCCAGTTCCAAGGTACCCTCTTCTGATTTTTGAGGGCACCAGGCATGCATATGGTGCACAAATATACATGCAAGCAAAACATCCAAACACATAAAGTAAATAAATCTAAAAACATTTTTTAAAAGACTTCTGTAGAAAAACTAAATCTGATAGAGCAAAGTGGAAGGATACAAAATTAACAGAAAACAACCTATAGCCTTTCTTTAAACTGATGACAAACACACTAAATAAGAAATCAAGAAAACAATTCCACTCATATTAGCCTCAGAAAAACCTCAAATACCTTGTGATAAACCTAACCAAGGAAGATGAAAAATCTGTATGCTGAAAATTTCAAAGCACAGAAGAAAAATGTTTACTCTTGCATACACGGGCCCTAGATTTCATATAGATACAAAAAGCAATCAGTAAATTTGACATGAATAAAGGAGTGAAACTATCTGGTGAGACTAATGTGAGAGCAGAGAAAAGAGCAGGGAAGGACATATGCCCAATATATAATATATACTTGTACGAAAATTTCCTTATGCAGCACAAAATCAATTTTGAATGGCACAATCCCAAAATACTATGTGCAGCAAAAATTATATATACTAACCTTTTCATAGTATTTACTGCATCCAAAGCCAAATAGCAACAAATGCCCATGAGAATCTGTACAGGCAAAATGGTTTCCATCTGGCGAGAATTTACAATCAAACACTGCCCCGTGACCTTGGCCTTCAATCTGAAATTCAGGAGTCTTGAGTCATTTTAAGAGTGCTTTTCAAATATTAAGTAGGCAATAGCTTATCCTTGCTATTCACTTGAATTCTGTGATGATCAACATTCCAATGTACTCTCTGGCTTCTGTAGCCAGAACTCTAGAGTAAACAGTAAATCTCTGAAATATATATGTAAATGTAAGTTTTGGACTATGAAACTCATATAGTTGAGGTGTATATCAGAGACAGACTCACGATTTGGTTTTTTTTCTTTGTATTCCTAAATTAAAATTACAGTTGAAACATTGGTCTTTCAGCATTTTAGCTTACATTTTAAATCCAATTGTAAGAAATTGGATTGAACAATTTGGTTTAGATGTACAAATCAGAATCTGAAAAAATGTTAGCACCAAGTTAAGTAGTCATGCTGCAAGATCTAACTCTAAGCCCTTGAGTCATTCTGTGAATTATTTTACAGACTTAAACATAGACAACAAGCTTCTCCTGTGCCCTAGACAACTGGATTATCAAAAAAGCAAAGTGAGATTGAATATGAACTTTATAAACACAGGTTTCTTACCATATTAAAGTAATTTCGAATTTTGGTCCCTCGGTCAAGGTCCCAAATAAAAATGTTCCCATCATGACCTGCTGAAAGTATTATCCTTTGATCAAATGGATGTGCTTCTAGAACAAATACTTCATCGTCATGTCCCTGTGATGAAAATCAATATTAGAAATGAAAAGCAGCACCAGATGTCTGGCTTATTTGTCCAAAAGATCTTGAGCACTACAAGTCTAATTGAGACGAATTAATGCATACCAACTGAATAGGATCGACTCATGGGTACTTCATAAATAAATATTTTAGTTAGAAGTCCTAATGCACAAATGCTGATTTTATAAACCTGATGTCTTAGATAATAGACACAGAAAGATAAGGCTCACTAACCACTGAAATGTAATTTGGAGATGTAGGAATTCAATAATTTTTTAAAAGCCACAGAAAATACAAGAAGCAGGGTATGATGGCATATGTACTTCTGTCAAGGCAGGCAATCAGAGACCTCAGTTGGCTATAAAGCTAGTTTTGAAGCCAGTCAGAATACAAGATAGAATCTCAAAGTAAAATAAAGGTTAGAGGACAAAGAATGGAAAATTCAACTGAATCCTTCACTATCATCCACTCCTACCACCATGGAAAAAGACGTAGACTTGTTTCTATCTAACATTCTCATCATGGTATTTGTGGTCTTAGAACTGACAGGTCCAATCTAAACCATAAAGTGAAACCTTACCTCAAAAAAATGCTAGCCCTTCCTCCATAATGAGATTGATGACTACCTTAAATGCCATCATAGAGCCCTTATCCACTTGCTAACGGGAACAAAAGCAGACACCCACAGCTAAACACTGAGCCAAACTCCTGGAATCCAGTTGCAGAGAGGGAGGAGTGATGAGCAAAGGGGTCAAGACCATCTTGGGGAAACCCACAGAAACAGCTGACCTGAGCAAGTGGGAGCTCACTACTCCAGACTGACAGTTAGAAAACTTACATAAGACCAAACCAGGCCCCCTGAATGTGGGTGTTAGTTGGGGGGCCTGGGAAGTCTATGGGACCTCTAGCAGTAGAACCAGTATTTATCCCTACTGCACAAAATTTGGGAGCACATTCCCTATGGAGGGATACTTTCTCAGTCTAGATACACAGGGGAGGGTCTAGGTCCTGTGCCAAATGATGTGACAGACTTTGATGATCCCCCATAGAAGGCCTCACCCGCCCTGGGGAGTTGATAGGGATGGGATGGGGAGTTGGTGAGAGGCAGGGGAGGACAACAGGGACAGGGAACTGGAATTGGTATGGAAAATAAAATTGGTTTTAACTTAAATTAAAAAAAAAACAAAAATAAAAGTAAAATAAAAAAATAGCTGCAAACTGGTCCAAAATATAAATTGCTAAGATGAATAGATAAAATTCCATTACAGAAAGCACCATTAATAACTTGCAGACAACCAAAAATCTCCCGTGTCTACCAAAAATGTTCTTTCTATTTTGTAATTAAGAACTACTACTATTTTTCAATTTCCTAAAATAATATTCAATAAACCATAACTTGATATTGGTAATTCAAAGGGTAATGACATATTAAATCAGATCAAATCAAATCAGATATTACCACACCAGATCTGATCACTATTAGAAGTTTACATTGGTACATCTTGCACGTTTCATAATCAGTCCTTCTTTGATGAAAAGGTATTCTTTTTTTAATAAACTACAAGAAGAATATACTGCTTAATTTTCCATCAATTTCTAAAACCTCATTCAGAATCTTTCACACAGCAGATGTTCAGGAGGCACTGTTTGAATGGAACAGCTTTCTGTCCTACCAAGACCCTACTTTAACCTGTTATGGTGGAAATAAAAGCACTATATCAAATGAAGGGCTTGGATTTTAGATCGATTGGTAGAGTGCATGCCTAGCATCACACGCCCTGCAGAAAACCACTTATGGGATGGCACATGTCTAGAATACCAGGACTTGGGAAATGGAATCAGGAAGAACAGGAAGTTCAAGGTCATCATTGGCTAAATAGAAAATTCAAGGCTAGCCTGGGCTACATGAAACAAAGAAAGACAGAAAAAGAAAATTAAGTAGCTTTGGCTGTTACAAAGACTAATTCTGTCAGTAAAATCCAGTAAAACAGATGACCTATGAGTCAGCCCATAAGAAAAGTATCATTAACAAGACTTTTAGATAGTTATGAAGATGGAATTTTACATTGATTTTTTTTAAATTAACAGCTACAACTCTTAAAGCTGTGAATTTACAGATATGAATGCTCCATGTCTAACTCAGTAACTACCAGCCATCTGTGGTTATTAAGCATCTGAAGTACAGGTACTACAACTTGATATGTTTAATATGAAGATTTTGCAAGCAACATGAAATGTAAAATGTTTCATTAACAATTCCTGTATTAATTTCATGTTGAAATGATAGTATTTTGGATATATTCAGTATATTAGTGAAATTAGTTTCTTCTTTTTAATTTTAGCTACAAACATATATATCATTTTTTTTTTGGTTTGGAGTTTTTATTCAAATCAATACTTTCAATTTAAGAGTAAAGGAAAAAATACGTTAGTTTTTTTTTTTTTTTTTACTTGTATTTGTTTATTAATTATATGGCTGGTGATGACACACACATGATTTTCCTATGTAGCTCAGGATAGATTCCAATCTGTGGAGCTTCTCCACCTCAGCATCCTATGTGTTGTGATTACATCGGGGAAGATTACCACAATTAGTAGTTAGCAAGACAAAGTAGTAAGAAAGTGTACTGTTTCGAGTCTGATCACTGCAAGTTAATACTACTACATTATAGCTATATGACATTCACTTGGAAGTGCCTCAGTAAAATGCTTATGAATTGGTAACTAATGCAAAGAGAAGGGAAACAGACATTAACCCATAACATGTTGAACCAACAAACAACCCACCCACATGAATTCTGCTTAATCCTACAGCAATAGCAGCATTTTACTATGAGAAATATACTTAAAATTTAAAAAAAGCATTAGCTTTTCTCCTACTTCTTCCTTTTACCTCTACTTTTTATATAAACTGATTATTGAAGATAGAAAATGTAGGATATAACTGCAAAGTAATAAAATAAATCCTATACCTTGTAAATACTAATTACTGTATACTTGAAGACATACTAACATTGAGAAATGAATAAATACCAGAATTAAAAATAATCTTAAAAAAATATAATTCATAGCTGTCGGTCCAGAGTGTGTGAAGGACTATGAGCCCAGGTTCTTTGTCTCTGTGGGTTACCCTGCCATGACACTGACACCCCCAACCCCTCATATAATCCTTTCTCCCTCTGTTAATAGGATTCTGGGGTTTCCCTTGCACCAGGTTTCTACCTGACCCCAAAATGCCCCCCATTCGATACTCTCCCCTCTATCCACTGCCCAACCCAATCCCTCATATTCCTATCCCCACAAGTCCCCAGTCTATCCAGGAATTTTTCATGTACTTGCCTTTCCCAGGGAAATCCATGTGTCCCTGTCGCTCTTTGGGACCTCCTTGTTATCTAGCCTCTCTGCAGCTGTGGATTATCTTTTACATATGTATGACAGTGGTGTAATTTGACCAATTTGTTTGACTCCTAGTAGTGGTATCAGGGCCTATTCCTAATGCTTGGGATGGCTTTTGGGAACCCATTCATCATACTGGGTTGCCTTGTCCGGCCTTAATACAAAGGGAGGTGTTTAGTCCTACCACAACTTGATGTTTAGTCCTATCTGGCAAAGAAAATATTTTCCAAAGACTAGAATGTCATAGAAAGGAAAGTAAAACCTCAATTTATTGTTCCTAGAATAATGTACTTTGACCTTTTTTGTTCCTTTGGGAGACAAGGTCTCACTATACTGCCCAGACTGGTCTCAAACTCCTAGGTTCAAGTAGTCTTCATACCTCAACTTCCTAAGTGATGGACCTACAACACACCACTGTACTAGGTTTAAATTGTTTCTTTTCCTGGTAAAAAGTATAATACTTACAGATAAAGTATGAAGAAGCTGCCCTGTGACAGAATTCCAAACTTTCAAAAGGAAATTGTTCACTGCAGTAATGACAGTGGTGTCATAACGATCCCAAGCCACCATAGTCACCTTCAGTTTAGTGACTTTGTCTTCTGCAGATGTCAAATTATTCCTGAAGCAAAAATTTGAAATATTCATATCTTGCATATTTTAACAAAGGTAAACACAATACAACAAACTGTGACAAATTTTTTTGGCAGATGCAAACAATTATATATAAGAATTAAGGTTATTCATAAAAAAAAAAACTGTATCCCATCATAGAAAACTATCCGTAAATTGATGACAGTGAAGGCTAAAAGATATGGTCATAAATAGTCGTGGTTAGCTTTCTGTCAACTGGACACAAGCGTGAGTCATGTGGGAAGATGGAAGTTCCATTGGAAAAATACCTCTATTAGGTCTTTAGGTAAGACTGTAGGTCATTTCCTTGACTAACCATTGATGTGGGAGGGCCTAGGACACTATGGGCAGTACCACCTTTGGGCAGATGGCCCTAGGTAAGAAAGCAGGCTGAGCAAGCAATGAAGAGGAAGCCTAAGAAAGTAGTGTTTGCCATGGCTTCTGCTTCAATTCCTGACTCCAGGTTTTTGCCTTGAGTTCTTCAATGATGGAAAATGACCTGGGAGTTGTAAGATGAAATATGTGCTTTCCTCTCCAAGCTGCTTTTAGCTATGATATTTAATCACAGCAAAAGAAACCAAACTAATATAATAGTTACTTGGAAGCATAAAAAAGTGAGACCAGTAATACTGTTTATCTTAATGAAATTCACATTATGTTGGCTGTGAAACAATATAAAAATGTGCAATGGTCATATTAGCCCTTAAATATTACTCTTAAAAATAATAGGCTTTGCAGTGAAACCCTGTCATGAAAAAAAGGCTTTGTAAACAAGTATCAGGAAATTTATTTACTTAAATGACTATGACATTAATAATATCTGTCTATGTCAATAATGTCAGTTTAATCTAATAAGGTAGTCAATTTAAAGGTCAAACATAAAGAAATTGAATTATTTCAAAGAGACTGACATACCTTCTAATAAGCAGTAAGCTGATGAAAGCAGATACTGATTAAATGCATATATAATGCTGAGTATAGATGCTAACAATATGAAACATAAGGAAGTCCTCAGTAATTAGAGCGAAAGGTAAACTTATAGTATTCAGCAATACCCTAGGCAGTCAACAGCAAAGGAACAGTTGCAAAGAGACTGTATAAAAGGGTAAATTTAATGCCTAATAATTCATTTCAAACTCCTTACTAATATAAAAAATTACATGCATTACTAAGTATAGTATGGTGCAAAAGACGATATGCCTTGGGAGACCCCCTGCAATACCCACTATGCATTCTTACCCACTCATTTTGGTAGCCATATCTAGCACTATACTCTTCCATTCTTGTTGTTGATATTGCCATATTCTTGCTGTTCCATCTCTACTTCCACTAACAAATCTTAAACTGGAAAAAAGAAGTTCAAATAACCTTGTTATTTCTTTCCAAAGCATATCACAGCTTCAAGACCATAAAATGAAAAACGTTCATATGCTACTGGGATATGTACAACAGTACACTGATTTTAGGAAATGGTCTGGCAGTTCCTAAAATGCTAACCATAAAGTTACCTTTCGACCCAGTAATCCTATTCTAGGGACATATGCACCCAAAGAAATGAAAACATTAGTCCACATAAAATATGTACATAAAGATTCATGGAACACTTAATAATCCCCAAAGCAAAAACAAATGAAATGCTTACTGGTGGGTAAATATGTCATTCATATAACAGACTATTATTCAATAATAAAAACTGATGCATGTTATAAATTTGGGTCAATACTGAATATACAAGTAAGTTTAACAACAAAGTTGCCCAGTGCTGGGAAAGAGGGATGATAAATTTGAGGATTTATAGCTAAAGGGAATGAGCATGCTATAAGTTAAAGAACATGTTTTTTTCAAAGATTAACAATGAAGATTGAACTACACTACAAACATAAGAAACTTTTATTATGAGCTATCTTTAATAATGCATTTGTTCACAAGTTTGATATTAGATTTTTTTTCTAATCTTACAGATGTGCATTTAAACCGGATATGTTTGCATGTCTGTGGAACTCAAGATGAGGCAGGAGGATCACAAGTTCAAGGCCAGCATAAGTTATATACTAAGTGACTATATGAAAATAATAAAAACCCATTGAACATATATATTGACCCATTTCCCCCTTAGGAAACAAAATCCCACCATATAAACTATTGTTCAAAACTGTATTTTATAGATCATAATCTATATTTACAATTATAAAACTATCATTTCAGTGAGTGTTCAACTACATGATCATAACAAAATTTACTTTATGAAGCTCATATTGATAATTACAGGATGTTATCATTTGAAAGAAAATGGGCCCCAAATGAAGTGACACTATAAGGAGGTGTGGCCATGTTGGAGTAGGTGTGGACTTGATAGAGGAAGTGTGTTATTGTGGCGGTGGCTTTGAGATCTCCTATATGCTCAAGATATCCCACCCTCAGTCTCACAGACAACTTCCTGTTGCCTTCAAGATGCAGGACTCCGTCTACTTCCTGCTGCCTGCATATCAACATGTACCAGCTCCTTTTCCAGCATCATGTCTGCCTCCCCGCCATGCTACTTGCCACCATGACAAATGGACTAAACATCTGAAACTTAGCCACCACCTCAATTTAAATGTTTCTGTTTTAAAGGTTGCCATGGTCATGGTCTCTCTTCATAGCAATAGAAACCCTAACTAAGACATATTTTTATTTTACAACTTTAAACTTAATGCTACTAAGAACATCACTATCTGTACACTCTTGTATATTGTACTGAGTAATAATTGGTACATTTTTAAAGGCTCATGTGTACTGCCAAATTATTTCCCTATATTTTGAAAAAAATAGGAATACCAAGAAAAGTTGTAAGAAAGGATAAATTTATAATACTTGATACACTGAGTAGTAAATTTTTAATTATCTTGTAACTTTTAAAAGAAAATTTCGGTTAGTTATTTTTAATTTGTATTTTCCTTACTAATAGAATTGGATGGTTTTTCAATAGGAATTGCTTATTTTTATACTAATAAGAGAAATGAGTACAAAGAATTAAGAATGAGCAAAGATTCACCTATGATTCTCCCTTAGAGAAACTAAATGTTAGCATTTTTATTTTTCATATGCATGCATTCATATTTCACATGTAACGTATGTTTTACATTTTTAGATTAATATAAGCCTTTTATATATTGACTGCATTTTTTGAACACTTAGTAACATTTTTGAAATACTCATTTACAAATAGACAATAAATTAAAATTTCAGGATCTTTCAGTAAGAAAAAATAGTAATATGGGTTCAGGAGAGATGAGTCAATGATTAAGAACACATGCTGTTCATATTGTCCCAGCACCCATGTCAGGTAATTCATAACTTTAAATGCAGGAGATCTGACCCTCTCTGTGGGCAACTGTGCAATTGTACTCAGGTTATCATACCACCCATTTGGAAACAGAGAGATAGAGATGGAAGACAGAGAGAGAGAGAGAGAGAGAGAGAGAGAGAGAGAGAGAGAGAGAGAGAGAGAGAGAGATGCAAGCAGACACACAGAAGGAAAGAATAAAACAAAAAATAAGTGCTAGAGAGATGACTCAGCAGTTAACTTGTAGAAGGCCCAGCACCATGTCAAGAGGCTCACAACCTCCAGATAACTCTAGCTCCAGAGGGCCTGATCCCTATAGCCTCCTTAGGCACCTACACTTACTCATGCATGCACGCACGCTTGCGCACGCACGCACACGCACGCACACGCGCGCGCGCACACACACACACACACACACACACACACACACACACAATTAAAAATAAAACTAAGCTAGGTGGTGGTGCACATGTTTTTAAACCCAGCACTCAGGAGGCAGAGGCAAGCAGATCTTTGTGAGTTGGAGGCCAGCCTGATCTACAGAGCTAGTTCAAGGACAGCCAAAGCTGTTACACAGAGAAACCCTGTCTTGAAAAAAAAAGGTAAAAATAAATCTAAATCGTAAAATATTAACAACTCATAAGAGCCTGAAGGGATGGCTCAGCACTTAGAGTCCTTGCTGCTCTTCTAGAGGACCTGACCTGTGATTAGCTCTTGGCACCTATGTCACGTGGCCTATATCTGCTTTTAACTCTAGCTCTGGGGGATCCAAGCCACTCTTCATATTTATGCAGGCACCCACATATATGTGGTTAACACACACACATACACACAGAGACAAGCACACACACATAAATAAGAATAAACTTAAAAGTCCCTTAAGAATGGCAATATGGTTAAGTAATTAACTTCATTTTACAATTCTATCATTCTTAATTCAGATTAACTATGGACTATTATTATTTGCTTGTATAGTTCACTAGTCAAAATTAATGTTTATAATTATTCACCATTCAAAAGTACTTAGAAATATTAATCGTCACACACAGAGCTGTCATATGGGCATATAGATAAAAATGTGTGCTAACTTTGCATCAAATTTTAGACCACCATAGACTATTACATCATGGAGTCAGATATTTTAGAGGGTTCACAGCTATTTGTATATAAGGTCTGACTTTACAGAGATAAGGAATGTATCTTATGAGCAAAAGAGACCAGTGACACAAATGTTCAGAGAATGACAAAAATTAAAATCTGTAGCCCTCAGGAAAGGCTCCAAGTAGCACATGAACCGTTAAAGCGAGATGACACATAGATAAGAAAGAATCAGGAGGGAGAAAAAGGAAGGGAAAGAGATAGAAAAGAAAGGTAAAAAGTGATGAAGAGAAGAGAGATAGGACATGAAGGAGGAAAAAGGAAATAAGGTAGAATGTAGGGAATGACATTTATTACTAGGAAGTATGTGAGGGAAAGTGTAAGTGAAGTAATGGATGAGATAATATGAAAATATGGAATAGTAAAAATGTATAAAGCAACTAGGAAAAATGTACAGATTCACATAAAAAAGAAGATAGCTAAGTAAGCTGTTCAGAATTTGGAAATGTCATGTTGACATTTAGAATTTATTCCAGAGCAACAAAAGAGAAAATGCTAAAAAAGAATCTGAATAGAACAAATGTTTCCTTGTTAGAGACATAGTAATAAAATAACAGAATTCTTGACTAAGTTAGGTAGCAAAAGAAAACAGAAAAAGCAAAGTAAACAAGAAAGAACTTGGGAAGACGAAGAGCTGACAGACTATGATCACCACTGAGTTAAAAATTCCAAATTCCAAAGAGAGATAAATCTATACAGGAGGACAGACATGAACTTTGAACCTAAGTGACTGAACAAAATAGCTATTTTCTGCCTCATACATGTATGTGTATGGTAAGAAGGACTTTGAGCTATGGTGTCTAAAGTTATCTCCCAGTAATAGCAAGCAGCATCAGTACAACCTGCTCCTGTTGCCAAAGACTATACAAAATAATCTCCCTAACCACAAATGTGTCTTTTAGATTTTATCTTTAAAATTAGCCAATAATTCAAGTAACCAAAATCATCTTTAAAAAAAAAAAAAAAAAAAAAACCTTTGGCAGTTAGTGAAATTGGGGCACATTAAGGAATCTCCAGAACTACAGAATGTGGGGTAGGATACAAACTCATTTCTAAGTGCTATGCCGTAACTGTAAACTGAGCTAAAATACCCCAACTTTGGGGAAGGTGATGTTAATACTGACGTTTACTCTAGAAAAGGATTTCTAGGTGAGTTTCCTGAGAAGTCAATGTCTGGATGACAACTACATTGGTTTGAAAGGAATAATAATAATAATAAAAATACCACCAAATATTTCTTTATAACAAATATGTACTCCATAATTACCTGTCTCCATTGTTACAGAACTGAACAGCAACAACTTTGTCCTAAAACACAGAACAGAATTTTCATAAAAATGAACTTATGTGGAAAAACAGAGTATCCTTCCCCTTAATTTATACTCCAAAACTTTACACAGTAGATTCTATTTAAATATGATTTTCAATCCTAAGAAAAACATTTTGCTTAAAAAGACAAATCATGGAAGCCTCTAACAATGTACAAAGTAACTAAGTTAGTGTCATTTTTAATCAAATGAGACATAAACAAATCTGCTTGTAAAACCTATCAAGAGATGCATAGTCCCGAATGGGTATCACCATATTACACCCCTCCCAGGACAACACAGTAAAAGAAGAAGCCACATAAAGACAACTGAGGTTAATGAAATTTCCCAATTGTTTTCTTTGTATAACTTCAGAAAACTATTTATTTACTTCTGTTTACCACATGTTTTTTAAACATTAAGCTGAATTTTATAACTCTTTTCACTTTAACAACGAAGCTAAAATGTATCCTCACACACCATACTAATTTTCAGTCTCTAGTTGTCAAACTACACTTGAACTTCACTTCTAATAAAACAAGGACAAAGCCTTCATACTCAATTATTTTAATTTTTAAAAGTTACTAACCAATCTATATATCCACATATTATTGACTTATATTGTTTTGTGGGATATGGTAGAGATCAGAAAAGACAAGAAAGGGAGATATAAAAAATAAGGCAATAGAAACAAGTTTCTTATTTTGTTCTTACCGTGTGTGATTCTAATTCAGCAATTTTCTCCGGTATCTCAGAACCCAAATAGTATATTCTAATAACATGGTCAGTGCTACCTGTTGTAATGAACATACCACCTAGCAGATGAAAAACAAAACAAGACAAAACTTCTTTTAGTTTTATTTAAAACTTGTATTAGCAACAAGCCTTCAAGAAACACAAAATTGTCTTACAAATACTGATGTCATACTAATATTTCAAAGAAAAATAAAATTCAAGAAAAATAAAAGAATTGTGCCAATGAACAACTACAGTTCTAGCTACTTACTAGGGAGACTAAAGCAAAAAGATCATCAGCTTAAAGTTGGCCAGGGTTTCAGAGTGACTCCACAGCCAGCCTGGGCAATTGACTGAAAACTTGCACCCAAGTAAGTGAGGGCCAATGAGACAGCTTCTTTGTACATTAAGATGCCTATTGCCAAGACCTGTGGATCTGAGTTCAATTCTCAAAACCCACATAGTAGAGGGAGAAAACTGACTCCTAAATGCTGGACTCTGACCTATCCAAATGTGCCATGGTACACACACATATACAATAAATAAATAAATGTTACAAATTAAAGACCTCTGGCTGGGTATGCTGGTTCATGCCTTTAATCCCAGTACTTTGGAGGCAGAGACAGGTGGATTTCTGTGAGTTGGAGGCCAGCCTGGTCTAGAAGGTAAGTTTCAGGACAGCCAGACCTGTACACAAATAAACCTTGTCTCAGGGGAGGAAAAAAAAGATCTGAAGGATTAAAAGGTTAAAAAAAAAAATCAGTCAATCAATAAATAAAAAAGTAAAAACAAAGATAGAAGATTGTGGGTCTAGTTCAGTGGCTGAATGCTTGCCTAGTGTGTTCAAGGCCCAAGGTCCAATACTCATTGCCATAAGAGACAAATACAGAGAAAAACAGAAAAGGAAAAAAAAAAAAAGACAGATGTATTTAGGACAAATGTAACCAAGACCCAACAAAATGGATCAATTATACATTAAACACAGGCTCATTGATTAAAAACAATAAAGTTCAAAACTCTGAAGAATTAACTCTCTATTTTATATAAAAATACTTTATCAAAACTCTAAAAATATTTACACTTACAATTATCCCACAACTGTGTACACTTTCTGTAAAGTTAAGCTAGGAATTTTCGTTAATGGGTATTTGGGCTGGGGACTGTCTATTCTTTGACAAATAAAACCAGCATTATATAACATGTATTAAATTAAATTAAGACCAACTATTACTAGGTGCTAAATAATCAAACTGGTTCATGTAGCATATAACACATGGTTTGCAACTTTGGTAGGTTTAACTTTCAAGCACACATACTTTTTCTTCATAAAAAAACTAAATCAATCTTTTATGCATGCATGATTTTAAGTACTAAAAGCATTAAATTTGATACATACCAGAACTGAAAGATGAACAAGATATCTGAACTCCAGGTCTGGATCTCTCAGTAAATTTTACTGGGCGATCTCTAAAGAATAAAATAAATGTTTTTGATTCTATCAGGCACATCTAATGGACAAAAATCTTAGCACACTGATGAATATTGATCTACTTAGAATCAATATTACTTTTAAAAAGCTAAGGGAAAGTCTCCAATACAGCTATTATCATATTTTCCGTTACACGTTTATAAATACAATTTATGATATCAGATGTTGACAATAGTTTTTAGAAACATACTGCTTCTATATAATCCTATTATTATAAAATGTTCAACTATATCTTACCACACTTTCCATATGAATTTCACAGGCTTAATATTGATTTTATTAAAAAATTTATTTTAAAATCTCTGAACACTGACTTGATAGATTTTTTTGACCCCTCCTGGAAGGCATCACCCTCCGTGTGGAGCGGGGGGATGGGATGGGAGTGTGGTCAGGGGGCATGGCAGGGAGGGAGAGAGGGATGAAGGGGGAAATGGGATCCATATGTAAAATAAGAAAAAAAAATAAATATCTGTAAACATAAAAATAAGGATGTCTATAAATGCACACAGGGGTATATATACATGTACATACTTCAATAATTGAACTGCTACATCACTAAGTTAATAGAGATATACAAATTGAGTTTTCACAAAATTTCTAAAATTTATTTAAACTTACCTAAACTTCATTGTTTTTACATGCCATTGCCAGAAACAAATTGTTCCATCAGCACCAGTGGAAGTGAGGTATCTAGTTGTGCCTTTAGTCGATGGACAAAACTTAAAAAGAATTCAAATAAAATATAAGTTCTCCTGTCCAAACTATTTTGTACAAATATAACATGTAAATAAAACATTTAAGAATTCCAGTATCAGTCCAGTGAAATGGCTGAGTGAGTAAATGCATTTGCCAAAATTCCTGAGACCCTGAGTTTGAGTTACAGAATCCATACAGTTGCCCAGACCTTCACACATGTGCTGTAGCATGCATACCTGAAGCTCACATGCACACAGAAATAACATACACCAAATGTGAGAAGAATTTCAGTATCAGGATTTTTGTTCCTTAAATGCTATAGATAAATGGATACTTAGCAACATTTCTAGAATAGCAAAACCTACAGAAAATAACAATTGAGGGGCTGGAGAAATGATGGCTTAGCAGTTAATGCTTGCTACTTTTCCACAGTACCCACATTGGGTGTTTCATGATGTAACAATAAATAAAGAAGAGGTCACAAATTTGAGAGGGTCACACAGGAAGGGGTGGAGGGAGGGGTGAAAATGATGTAAATACAGTACTCATGCGTTAAATTCTAAAAGATTAATTAAATTAAATCAATAAAAAGACAGCAAGAAGACAAGACTGTTAGTAGACTAAAGAAATGATAAAGTCTGGGATGGTCTTCTTGAGAAGATCTGCACAGAGTACTTGCAAAGTGAGGGGACAAATCATATGAGTATTTAGGGAAGACTACTCCAGAAATAGAAAATTGTAGGAGAAAAATCAGCTGAGCATAGTATGTAGGAAGCTGAGGCTAGAGAAAGATGAGGGGAGGAGGAAGATCAGAAGAATGGAAAGGAGGAGAAGGAAAAAAAGAAGAAGGCAGAAACCAGCAGCTAAAACAGAGTGAAAATGAAAAGCAAATTAATAGTAGATGAGGTCAAGGGAAGCCTAGAGTCTGACAATATATATATAGGCTTACAGTAGATATAGTCCTGTGGATCACAGGTTTGTTGCCTCTGACCTGGAAAACAGAAGCTATCAAGGTACTGAGTACTAGGGACATGACTAAACTGCTATTTTACAAACTTCTGGTTACCATGTCTGGAGTAGGACAAGGGAGAAATCAGAACAGGAAAATTGTTGAGAAGTCTGTTTCAATAATCTTAGCCACAGATATTTATTAGTGGCTTGAAACAGCATAGGTGACAGATTAGATAAAGGGAACAGGAAGAAGACAAACATTAATTAAAATCATGAAATCACCATATGTTCAGATGGTACTATAGTTAGGATGTTGTATGTCTCCATAAAGGTCCACCTATTAAAGGTTTGGTCTACAAAGTAGGTTATTAAATAGGATGGAACCTTTCTGAGGAGGGACATCAGAGAAATCTAGAGATTATTGAGGGTATGCCTTCAAGGGATTGTACCCACCTCCAAAGTGTTTATGGGATTTCCTGCAGGGTGATTTAAGCTTTTACAAACACATGCCTCTGCTATGATTCATTTTTTTTATTCCAGCAGACTTCTGCCTTTATTATTTATGGTATGAAGTCATATGTACAAGGGGTAGTTGCAGAGCTTGCATTAAGCCATTCCAACATATACATACACATACACATACACATACACACATACACACATACACACATACACACATACATAAATACATACATACATACATACATACATACATACATACATATATATATATATATATATATATATATATATATGCCAAATAAGCCCTCTTTAGTTGTAAGAAATGTTTGAGGTATTTTATTCATGACAAAAAAAATTACTTAAACAGATGAGGAAAATTTGTTGGGATTAAATTTGAGGAAGAAAAATGAAATTTTGAGTTTGAGATAACTGGTAGACATTCATGTAATGATGCTAAACACACAGTTGAATAGGGAAAAACATAGCTATAAAATGGGTCCAATAGGTAGACATGAGTTATCAGTTTAATAGGCATATAGACAAAATTCAAAGGTCAAATGGTGTCATTGACGGCAGGTGTGAGATTTTTCAAGGTCCAAGGCGCTCTCTCTCTCTCTCTCTCTCAAAACAATCCACATAATCATCTTAACTAATCAAAATTTTAATTAAAATTTTTCATTCAATACAAAATGAGCACATTTTCTGCTAGACCCTTTAATGTTATGTTATTAAATATGTTATTAAAATAGCACATGATAAATATAAGTAATGACTTCTTACAGAACTATTATCCACATGTAAAAGTTTAAAGATTTCTTGTTTTTTTTTTTTTTCTTGACAAAACATAATAGTAAAACTTCAGCTTAGTTTTGTTAAGTGCAATGGCTTTTAAGATATCAAGGACTTTTACTACCCAAGGTCTAGTCAAAATACTATATGAACAACATATTTTATATCAAATACCAAAAAGAAACAAAAAACTCACTAAAACTAAGAATATAAAAGTTTCTTCCTAATATTAAAACTACATGTACATACAACACACATTCTAAATATGGTACACATCATGAATTATAAATATTAACACAGCATTCATACTACTACCCGTGTATATCCTCATTAACAGGTACAGTGTGCAAGCACTGTAATCAGGCATTTTACATGTAAAATCTCTTCACATATATACAAAAATAAATATGTTCCCTCATGTTGGATTTGAAGTGCCTTCTCCATTATGGTGGCCGTTTTTATTTATTTCTATAGGCACAGGTTAATATAAAAAGGAAAAATATATTTCTCAGTAGAAGCAAAACAAAGCTCTATGAGAGCATTTTTCTGTTGTCATTCTTTGTGTTCTTAACCATGTAGTATCTACCCATGTAATATACAATACATTCATAATACAAATAAGAAAAGCCTCAGCTTTATTAATATTCCAGAGATCATATCATCATTCTCACCTGTATGGAAGTAATAGAAGCTGAATGTCCCTGAAGGACAGCAACTGGTGCACAAGTTCGAAGACACCATACTCTCACAACTTTATCACAGCTGCCTGCAGCAATGAGAGTATTTTCATAGTTAACAGCCATGTCTGAAATCTCAGCAGAGTGCCCTCGCAGTGTAGCCAAGAGGCGTCCATCATCTGTAGCCCAGATTTTCACCAAACAGTCATCTGAACCCTGCAGTAACACAAAAGACAGAAGATTTATAATGAAGCAGAAACTTGTCATTTACAGCCTGAAGGAAAGTAAAGATTTTATTAAGGAAAACTATGTGCCCCCAGTACCAAATATAAGGGTTGTATTATCTACACTAACAGTGGCATTTGTGACAGTCTTCAAAACCAGTAATCCTTAAAAAAATTTTTTTTGAATATTTTATGCATATACTTAAATGGTTAGTTATTAAGCATTTCTGCCATTGCTTCTTTCTATAAGCCTAGCAGCCTCTGGCTTCATTGTTTTAATAATTTTTTCTGAAAATATTTCGAAATGTAAGTCTATAATCTACATTGATTTGTCTGGAAACCCGAGGCCATTAAGAATCCCTAGTGGAAATCTTTGTTGCATTTTCCTTTAAGAATTCCAAATGAGTTTTAAATATAGTAAAATGAATTCTATTATAACATGGTAAAGTAATTAACCTATTTATTAAAAGAAGACATGCACCATTATTATATCATCATACTTAGAGACATAAGTCATCAGCAGAAAAGTCTATAATACAACCTAAGTTATAATTTCTTGAAACAAAGTACTTCCTGTGTTGAAGGCTATAAATAGAAAATTGAAATTGTGCCACTTCTCTCACCTCTTGTTACTAGTAATGAAGCAATCACATCAATATTTTTAGACATTATTATGCTATAGTTTTTACTCAAAAGCAAAGAAAGTGACTTAATAAAACTTAAAATTGAGATTTTAAAAATAACCAACACTAAAATCAAAGAAATATATAAAATGCAACTGCAATCCTCATCAATGTATAATTCAACTATTTAATATTGAAGGTGATGTAATTATTAAAACCAAATTTGGAGCAATTACACATGGAAATGCCTTTTAATAAATTCCCATTTAACAGAATAAAACGGAGTATATTTGTTTCATATAAATTAACCATCTTGAGTTTATATAGACTTATGAAGACATAATTTTTAATTAAATTTCTCAAAAGATACTGGATATCATAGCTCACTATTCATTTATATAAAATGAGAAAATATTTACAATAGACACGCCTTTTTCTTACAATAAGTCCAAACAGAATAAATTATTTATAAAGTAAAATACAATGGATGGCATGAAGTCTTGCTTCAGTTGTAAGTTTAAAATGTTACATATCAAATATTTAACTTACTGTGAAAATTCGCCTCCCAGTTCGATCAAAAGCTACACAGTAGACAGACGATAAGTGCCCCAGAATTCTCTTATGCATCTTGATATGCTGGTAAGCAGATGAGGGGAAAACATGGCTGAAGCGACTACATCCGGTTAACTGCCTGGCTGAGGTGATATTCACTGCGAATAAATTGAAACAGAAGAATGAATCTTAAAGCCTAAAAGTGAGACTTACTTTATGAAATTATGACTATTAAAATAAGACAAAATAGGGGGTTATTAGGTACTTTAATATACCTACTAAGAAAGAATCAGCACCAGTGTTGTTTCCTTTTTTGTTACAATGCTGTATAGTATCATTTTATATATATATAAACAAAATGCCATTTAGGACTATCGGTTTTCCCTTTCTGGATTGTAACTGTACAGTCTCTTCCCACAGTTTATTAACACTGGACTTTTGAGGCTATATCTCTCTTTCTCATACACACACATGCACACACATACACACAAAATAAATAAAAATAGGTATGTATAATTTTAAAAATTGCCACGATTGTAACATAACCTGAACAGTTCAACAAATACCACCTACATTCTGTTTACTTGTAAATAAGAGAGCTTGTTTCTAATGTAAGGATTTACAACCACCCATTTTTCTTGTGAAATCTTTCCAATCTTGTTTTACACACTGAAAATACTAAGGAAGCCACATGTATTTTGATCATAATATCGAATCTCTGCATGTTAAAAGTCACTATAAGGCAAAAAAAAAGCATCTTAGCACACTGCAAAAACTGTGTGATACAAACAGTAACAATTCTATCTTTAAATACAGCAAAATCAAAGCAAACGTTTAGTTCTTGCTAGATTAGTATAATTAGAACCACACCACAAAAGAGGTATAAAATCTTTTAGTGGCTTAGTATATAAATAGTTATGAAGTCTACCTTTCAGGAAAAGGTACAACTACTGGCCACTTTAAACTGGCAAAATGACAAAAATATGAATTATGAATGCCATAATCAGAAAATTTCGAAAGCAAATCATTAGACCATATTAGAAATCTAAGCACTTATATATTGCCAAGACAATGAATGAATAATGGTTAAAAATATAAATGACAGAAAATTCATAAGAACAAATTCTAGGTAAGAAGATTTCTTTTTAGTAGCCATTCCCTATCTAGCCAAACAGAAATTTCTAAACGTCTAAGACAAGAGTGAGTAGGCATACCCGTTCTCTAGTCAAATATTTCTTAATGCTTTGAATTTCTTCAATCAACAACCACTTTTGCCTTCCTTTTCCTTTCCTTTCATTTTATGCAGGTACATGGAGGAAAAGTTTTGTTGTTTCAATGTATGACATTTCAACTAGGGAACAGCTGACACTTTGGTCTGAATATTTCTTTGTTACAGTGGTGGATCTGTCCATTGTAGGATGTTTTAGCAGCAACCTTGGCCTCTACCCACTGGATGCTAAAAGCATTACCAGCCCTGAATGTGACAAGCAAAAACAGTTCCCTACATTGCTAAATATGATTTGGCGGTGGGAGAAACACCTTCATAGAAAAATCACTTCTTGCAGGATAAAATCAACCAACAAAAAATTAAGAGCAGGAAGAATAAAAAAAAGTGAAAACTTGGAGGAAAAGGTACAGCTAGAAAAAAAATTCCAACCAATGAACACGGATTTCTTTCCATTTATTTACTCGGTCTTTGCAGTTCTTAATCATAGAGAACTTTCATTTTCTTAGTTAAGTTTATTCCTAAATATCCTATTGATATTGTAAATGGCATTGTTTTCATAATTTCTCTTTTAACTAGTTTATCATTAGGGTATAAAAACACCAGATTTTCATGTTTTGCTTTTGTAAACTGAGAACGTGACTGAAATCAGTTTCAAATGTTTTGGGGGACAATCTTTTGGGTTTTCTCTGTGTAACATTATATCATCAACAAAAATGTCATTTTTCTTTCATAAATAGATGTGCTATTTGTTTTTACTTTTCCAATTGATTTGACAAGAATATACAGTATTAAGCCAGACAGAAGTAGATATAGAAGGCATCCTTGTTTAATTCCTGATCCTAGATGAAAAACCACACTTTTCACTAAAGAGTGTGCTACCTATGGGCTTGAAATATATGACTTTTACAGCACTGGGATATGTATTTGTACACGTATTAGTAATTTTATTTCCAATGAATGATGAATTTGGTCAAATTATTTTCTGTATGGTTAGTGAAGAACATATCTAATACATGTCCTTTCATTTTATCAATTGCTATATTATGCTCAATAATTTGCCTGTACTGATACATCATTGCATCATGGAAACAAATTAAATTTGATTATGTTTTATGATATTTCGGTGTGCTATGGAGTTAGGGTTGCAAACATTTTGTTTGATTTTTTGTTAACTATGTCCATCAGGGATACTTGCAGTGGCTTTCATCTTATTATCAAGGTAATGACGGACTAATAAAGTGGTTGAAAGTATTGCCTCCTTCAATTTTCAGAATTAAATTAGTCCCTCTTTAACAGCTTGGTAGAATTCAGCAACACAGTTTTTAGGAGGCTTTTATATATTACTTAAGTCTCTTGTTACAATTTGCTCAGACTTTCTGCTCCTTCATGATTAATTTTGTTCATTTTTTGTTGTTATTGCCTGTCCTGGAACTTATTCTATAGACCAGGCTGGCCTCAAACTCAGAGATTCATCTGCTTCTGCTTCCCAAGTGCTAGGATTAAAAGCATGCACCACCACCAAGCTCCTGTAGGCTGTATATTTTGATAACTCTTTGTTTCTTCTAGACTAATTTTTGCTACATAGTTGCTCACTGTAGACTATCCAATTTGTTGATATATAGCTGTATCTTATGAATTTTGTATTTCTGTGTTATGAGTTTTAATTATTCTCAACTATTTTGAATCTCTTCCTTTTTATAAAATTAGCCTAACGAAGGCCTTGGTCATAGCTTTTCAAACATTAACTTTTAACTTTTAACATGCCAAACATTGGCCCATTAACATTCTATCATGGAAGAAGAGGGACTCATGAGATCCTACCCCTCCCTCAGGAGCTACTGGCAGGTAAAGGTTGCAAGGGGAGAAGTTACTTTCTTCAATGATCTAGGCATGACACTTTTCATGCTCCTGTAAATACTGCCTCCCCATGCTCATATAATCAACCCTAAATTAACTCAGCAAGTCACAAAACAAAAGTCAAAAAACACTGGACAAAACATGAAAATAGGAGAAGGACTTGTTGCAAAGGCAGAATGCCAAAAATGCATTATTCCATATAATACATATGGATGAAATAATCAAGGAATAGAAAACTTTCAGGCATGAGCCATCATTATTAACATGATCTTTTGCATTTTCTTTGTAGCCATTTGTTTTTGCTTTTTGTTTTTTGTTTTATGTTTTTGTTTTTTTGTTTTTGTCTATTTCTGTTCTTCATTATTTCCTTTCTTCTGAGAAATATAGGGTTCCTTTAGTCTTATTTCAGTTCACTGGTGTTTCAATATAGAAATGGTTCTTTTGTATACACATGTATTGCCATAATCTATTCTCTGGACTATATTTGCAGCATATGGTAAGTTTGGTATGATTCCTCCACATACAGATGGAATATTTCTCATACAAAAATACTTATAAAAATAAATGTTTACAATTACAGATTGGAGGGTTGGGTTATATGCATAGAAACTATGAAATATCCTGGGGATGAGACTTAAGCTTTACAAAAAATTTAATTTTTTGGAAACACTTTATGCATACGCTGAATATTTTATACAATATTTTTAGTGGTGCTGCATTCATTTTTCTCTTCCTAGAATTTTTAATTTAAAGTCTATTCTGTCTAACATATGCAGTTACTCCTATTTCTGTTTACTTTCCCATTTGAATGTAATATATTTTTGACTACATATCTCATTAGAGGTATAGTGATTTACCTGTATGCAGTATAAAGTTGAGTTTTATGCAGTCAACCACTTGATAACATCTCCAAAGTTAATTTATAGAATCAAGTCAATCACTATCAGAATTCTCATAGAAGTAGGAAATAATCCTAAATCCAAATGGAACTACAAAATTTCCCAATAGTCCAAGGATTTTAGTACAGAAAGAGCAAACCATAAACCATCATATTATTTCTTTACAAAATACATTATAAAGCGACAGCGAACAAAATAGCATGGTTCTATCATAAAAGCAATATAATGACCAACACAAAAGAATAGGATATCCAATAATAAGGATTTAAAATAAATTGACAATAAGTGTCCAAAACACAAACAATGGCAAAAAGATGAATGCATCATTAAATACTGTTAGGGAAACAGTACCCACATGCAAATATCCACATGCAAAACAATGACATCGGATATATCACATACAAAAAAATGAACTCAACATGGGTCAATGACTTATATGTAAGTATACAAAACATACTTTGTACAGCATTCCAAAAAAATACACATAACAAAAAATTAAGAAAAAATGAGATTACATCAAGCTAAAAACTCTATAGAACTTAACAGCAGAATAAAGAGATTAACCACAGGTTAAGAGAAAGAATGTGCAAATCACTTATCTGATAAAATGCTGTATCCAAATCACATAAGGATTACAAAGAATACAAAGAACTTAACAAAACACTGAAAATGGGCAATGAACCTGAAAAGATATTTCTCAAATGAACATGAAAAAAGCAGCAACAGGAAAGCAAATGCAGGGTTGTAGGATAAAGGTGCTTGCTTCCAAGCTTGAGGACCTGAGTTCAATCACCCAAATCTACACATTAAAAAGAAAGCACTAAATCTGAAAATCATCCTTTGATTGATACACCTTGTGAAAACACACACACACACACACACACACACACACACACAAGATAAATGTTAATAATACATGTTAAGTGTGCGAATACTATATATATATATATATATATATATATATATATATATATATATATACATACACTATTCAGAGTAGTATAGAGATTCCTCAAAAAATTGAAGTACCATATAATCATTTGCATGCTTGCCCACTGGCTTGTTTCCATTTGTCCTGTCTATTTTGGCTTTATAAAGATTATCTCCCATAACTTTAGTAAGGTAGGCCTTTCCAAAAGCTAGATACTCATATATCATTTCTTGTTGACTGAGA